TTTTTTGGCATTTAGCAAATCAAGTGGTTAAATAGCAAGAGTTAATATTTTTATTCTCTATGCTATAAAGTCGTATAAGCAATCGTTTCTTTGGTCATTCATGCTACCAATACTACTAGCCCTCCTAACTCTCCTATCGCAAAGCGCAATTAACACATTGTATATAGCGGCATGTGCCTTCGCTTTTCTCATTTTCATAATCTCGGTAAACTAAAGTCCGTTTCCTTGGCTTCAAGTGCTATGCTGGTTTTAGAACGTACACTAGTGCCTTTTTGGTGGGCTTTAACATTGCTGGTTTCAAATAAAGCATCGTTGTTTGATGCGGTTCTGGGTTTTTCGTATACAGTTGGTTGGATGTATTCACAACGTTTTAATCATCAGCAAAATTAGTTTGCCCTCCAGACGCCGCTCAAGTTGCGTTCAAAATTTGTCAGATTCACGCAAAAAAAACATATTTATCCTGTTCGACTTTGGTGCTCATCAAAATTTAGAGTATCTTAAAGTGTAAACGCACTGGGTAAAAAATAATCAACTACATTCTGTACCCATGCAGCGCTTTAGGTAAAAACCCATTATCTCGAATTCTGTATATGGTATATACAGGATATCTATCCAACTGAGGACTTTAATGTGATTCACACAAAACATTGTGAATTCGGTGCGGTGATGTGTCCAACACGAGGCTGGCCCCACGCACAGACACACACTTCCACATCCAAGGTACAAAATAAAATCGAAACTGCCAATTGCCATCCCACACCGAGAGGCATAATTAGTGAATCATCGTTGATGCGGTGACAGGGGTGTTGCCTACGGCTCCACAGCAATGTTGTGCTGGCAGTTGGACTCGCCAAAATCATCACCTCCCTCTTCAACTAGCTCGAAATTGTCATCGTCTTCAGAAGATCGGCACGGATTGTTTCGGCTCCTGTCACCGCCAATTGGATCCATGGTATCCAGCCCCGTGTGGAAGGTGTCTACAAAAGAGCCAGAGATGCGACTATCTTATGGTATTTTAATGAAAACGTTTAGCATTTCGTGACTATAGAGTGGGATTCGAGCGTCATATATGCAATTCCAAATGTACTAATATGACTCCGCACATATAAAGTTGTTTGAATTGGTGTATTACCGCTCTACGTCATCGTTCCCTCCAAATGTATTGATAAACACGTGAGAAATTTTGATTACTTTCGATAAAGACGTAGTCGTTTGTGATGACCTGCACGTCTTCGGCGCATTCGCAGAATTCAGCTTCTTCCATGCCTTCCTGCAGGAACCAATGCAGAAAGGCCTTCTTCGATAGGAGAGTGTTGAATCGATAGAGGATGCTCTTAAGGGGGTTGATAATTAGCGTGGAGTTGTACATTGCGGTCAGCTGCCGTGTGCTCTTTCCCAAACCGCTTTGCTTCACAGCTACTGGCGGCGTTTCAACAATACCGACCTGAAATTTTTGCAACATTAATATCAGACATCTCACGAAATCTGGAATATTCCAAAAAACGGATTCTTTGCATCGAATTTTGTGCATAACTTTGACCATGCACGCACATCCCATTAGCATTTATAAGCCTGGCCAAACGATCGATTGGGTTACCTTAAATCCGGTTGGACACCAATCAACCAACCCGATGACTCCTCTTTTCTTGATCACATCGATTGTATCTGAAACGTCTTTAACGGGAATATCGCCTCGGTAGAGAAGGGCGCAGGACATCATGGCAGCTGTTCTTGGGTCGCCGTGTACCATTTGACAGTCCTTGTCAAAACACCTCAGGGTTAATTCTGGCACTGTAATGGCTAAAGCACACAAATCCACCAATGAGGAGCCGGCGTGCTTTGTTTAAACCGGGCCAATTTAAATTTGAACTGCTTACCTTCATGCACGATGACGTCAGGTGTGCAGAGAGGGGCCAGTGCGAGTTGTAGGTAATGCAGACGAGGAAATGGCACTAGGTTCGTTTGAAGCTGCATCAACGTAGCCGTCAGCGGACCATCATGTCTGAGCGAAGCCGACAAACCACTTGTGGTCTGGGGTGAAAAGCAAAGGCGCTGTTGAATTCCTCTAAAAACCTCACATATCACCAAAAGTTAGGTTGCACCAATCACCTGAGCGATAATCCTGTTTATGTGGGAGTAGGCGGGCCGGTCAATACCGAGTTTATTACTACTGATCGCGATTAGGGCGTCGTTTTCGCACAAAAGCGTGAAGCTGCTGATTTCATCGAGCGTGCTGCTGCACAGGACTGCGTTGTACGGCTCTACCACACAGCACGATTTCTGGTGGTCGGGAAAGATGGCAACTTCGATCTTTGGAGTCTTCATGAATTCGGTGTCCATCAGTTCAGCGATTCCTATGAAAGAGTTGTGCAGGGGGTGATATCACAGCTACTTAAGAAATATAAGTAGGGTGTTTATGCTACTTACGGCAGGTGGTGCCACCACCGGTTCCACCACCGTAGGAGTGGTAGAATAGGAACGCCTGTAACTGATCGGAACTTTCAACTTCCTTTCTAATCGAATAAACTGATTTATCGATTAGGTTCTGCGGCACGCCGTAGTAGCCTCGGCCAAAGTTGTTTGCCATGTCTTCGCAGCCGTTGATGAGGGAACGTGGATTAAACATGCAACGGTACACGCCTCCCCGGATTTCGTCTACAATGGAAGGTCAACAATGTTGACTTGTCTTCGAAGAAGTGTCTTTAAATGCCTTTATTTTACCTCTCTCTGAGGCCTATTTTGACATATTTGTCATGTTTTTAAGACTAGAAACTAAAAATAGGACAAATTTGGCAAGGTCATCAGTTTGTTTGACCAATAGAAATTCAATATACAGGCGGACACTTACCCACGACGGTAGGTTCACTGTCAACAATAACGGTGCGCGGCACATATCTGTCCTTATTATCGACCATAAAGAAAACATTTCCGGAGTTTTTTTCGGTGTAACCTTCGGAGTTTGGATCGATAAGGACGCCATCTGGACCAACCCCGTGCTCGATTGCCATTAGCTCCCACACCGCCTGGGACGTCTGAGCACCGCATTGGCCCACAAACACACTGATAACCTCTCCAAGCTGAAAAGGTCCAGATCAAGCTATCGATAAGAAAAAATTAACTTTGCTTAGTCATGCGTAACGCCCAATGTAGCAACGTTTCCTTAGTGGAAAACTAGCTATCACGTTGCAATAGTGAAAGTCTGAAGGATAATTGGTGACTGTGATTGGCTCCTACGTACAGCCAATCATTGCTGTCATCGAGTTCTTTCTAATTACGCCCATAAGAACACAACCAGAACACGTCAGTCGAGGCAAATGGATAAAGAATTGTGTTTGCTGCTTTGTTATTGGTTAGCAGGATTGTCACTATAGCTAATGGGTGCACGTTTAGGCATCTTAAGATTCAAATTTCAGTAAAAGTGTCAAACAAGAAAACATCAACTTTAAAAAGAAGTGCCCAGATGATATAAACGCAAAATTTTACTGAAAGAAAACATTTTCTGGCTAGATACAGCATTAGGTAAGAGTAAAAATAACGAATTAATTTGCGTACCGGCATTTTTGACAGAATCCGTCACAGTGCTGGCTGGCTAGATGGAGTCGCCATCGTGGTATCGATTTTCGTCTTGAACCCTGAGTCACGTTCCGTGGGGCAGCGTGTGGCCCACGCACGTGACGTGCGGCGTTTTCTTGCGCGCGGAATTGCGCCCTCATGCCCAGGTTAGCATCTAATTTAATGTAATTTTCGAACAAACGATTGGTTAATTGCACCCACACCAAGAATCATGGGAAGATTTCTGCAAATGGATCTTGTCACTCATTGGACAAAACTCACAGATACGAAACTCTAGTATTGTCCAAGGTTGATGAATACAATCATGCCCTCTCTCTCTTTTTACTGAATTATGTGGCCGAAGTCGACTCTCGATGTCGCTGACAATGTAAAGAATTGTAAGGAACTGCCTTGAAGTTAAATCGTCAATCGTCCTTTGACCAGTGAAAATTATCTCCCATCACACCATCTAGTTTGGGGACAGCTACGATCAAACAGGAATTGCATTCACCGATCTCAATAATTCACCAATAAAAACCAAGAAGCGTTGATAAAACAATCGGAGAAATTGGTTTTGGTTTCTCTTTTTCAGGAACCAATAAAATTTTCACTATCTGACAATGTCGCATTTCATGATTAGTTTAAAAATGATCAGTTTTTGTTAAATACATTTTTCCTTTGTTTTCTGTTTTATTTGAATAAATTTTATACTTTGTTGAGTTCGCAGTTGTAGGCTTGTATAACCGAGAACAGATCACCGACTGACACAATGGTTCCCATTGGTCAATTACTTGTTCAATCCCAGTGAATGAAAGCTTTATTTAAATGCGGGTTTCTGATACCCAAAAAAACATTGCTGATCGTCCTTAATTAATCCACCAACTTAACTAAGAGATTTCGTTGATCTAAAACAGAATTGGCTAGTTCGAATTAAGAGAAACCGTTTATTAGTTAGTTCAAGGTCAAACAGACCTGCTATCACAACGCTCTTATCTAAGCATTGGTTGATTGCATCTGAAGTAGTCTAGAATGTATCGTTCCCACACCCCTGCCCTTTCGCATGTTCGAAAAAATAAGGTTAGGTAGCTTTTAGTGGGTGCTCAGATTGTTTTTGCGAGGTACAAAAGAATAAAATTCACCGCGTGTGGGAACCAATGAAAAGTGAGGAAAGATGACGCAGACGCCAATCATATTGCGACACACTTAATTGGACAGGCTTGTTTTCGCACTTGTGGAATACTCAAGCCCTTGAATTAAAAAGATAGGTGCAACAGGGCAGTCTTTATTGGTCAATCACAAGCTAGATCCGTGCGTCAGGTGTCGTCCGTTCGAATCCATTCTATACTGCGTCTCATCCATCCTGCATCTGGTTGGCTATTGATTTTCAACGTAGGCAATTCAAACTCACAAAGACAAAGGATTGGTTGGTCTCAATGTGATCCAATATGTCTGCGCCATTGTGCGACACTGTACATTCCGCCACGGGGAACTACTAGGCGTCATAAAATCGTTAAATGGCTTCAACAAATGGTTGACTTGCACAAAAGTTTAGACCAAATTCCCATGTTCAGCGTTCTCAATAGGAAAACCCTCAAAGTAGGAAAACCTTCTCCTTTTTTCATATGTGCATTTAGTCCAGATCTAATACGTCTTAAAAACGCAAATTTCATGATGCGAACACCGAAAATTACTCGACATTATGGAACCAAATTTACGGTTGAATCGTTCACAGGTGGAGTAGGTGAATCACATTTTTTGACGACAACTTCTCATCTGAGGCGTAAATCTGTTCAAGAATTATGAAAATTCCAGTTTTTCTCGGGAGTCTAGCTGAAATTCCGTTGAAAACGCGAGTCGGGAGCGACAAGTAAGAATGTGGAGTTGACCCACACGTGTCGGCGCATGGCGACCATGTGGCTCATGCGCCAATCGATCGGCGCTGGAGCCAATCACAGCTCAAGGTCTGTCACGCCGGCGAGGCCACGTCAGACCACACACGAAAATGCGCGTAAGTGAATTGTTTTTGTTAAAACTTTTCACCGAACCATGATTGTCTTTACATGAGGGTGTATTCGACATTAATTGCGTCTGTATTGACCTGGTTTAATACGAAAAAAATCGGGGGTATTTTATCAGGCCTTCTTCAGAAATCTGCAAACCACTTTCTTGAACGATAACGTAGCTGAGGTCATGAAGAATCAACAGCACTCCGTTTAGAATCATTGTTTTAATTCTATTTGAGCTCCCTAAAAAAGGTGCAACCATTTTGACACCTTTGAGAGCATCGTCGGGTTTCCAGATTTGCAGATGTCGATGCCCATTACACTCAAACTCAGCTCTATCATCCTGTTAATTCAGGAAACCTTAAAAGATCCACTCCCTCTTTCCCTCTCCCTGAAAATTAGCTATTTTGCCGACAATTTTACGGTGTCTCGCAAATGCACAAACGGTTAGCTGACGAGCTCTGGTCAATTCGGACTCATTTAGGCCAAAACGCCGTCAAAAAACCTAGCCACATGACTGCTTCAGTTGTTACTTGTTATTTTGGGTAGAAAATTAAATCGCCATTAACAAATTGGCTAATTTTTGCAAATTAGATTGACAGTTAGGTACAAAGAACGTCCAAGACTTTTCTGGTGAATGTTTTCTAGTTTATAGCATTTGCTATCACCCTTCCGAATGTGTCCATGCATCAATTGTGATTGGTTGGCTGGTTGGTTGAAAAACCTCATTGGTTAATATTGTAAATTTCGTCCAGAGTGTATTTGGCCTTAGATCGAACAAATGGTCATGTGTTGTAATTAAGCAGATCACTTCTGTTGAATAATGGCCTTCAACAAACAGCGAAGTCGTATTGTAATGCACAGAAATTGCTCACACCAAAGTAACTATTGGCTGTAAACACACACACACACACACCAGACCAAAACTCTGCCCCACGGGATTGGTTCGTTTTGTGGTTCAGGTATTTTGCAACTGAAATTCCAGGGCGAATTGGTCCAGATCTTCGTGGGTCAGGGTGGGGCGCAGATCGCCGACGCCTGCTGGGAGCTCTTCACACAGGAGCACTTCATCTCCCCCAACGGCGAACTCACCATCTGTGCACTGGACCAAAAACAGGGCGACGGCGACGCCACACCCTTCTTCACACTCAGCCAACGTGGCTTCTACATTCCTCGCACCGTCATTGTCGACACCGAGCCCTCTGTCCTTGGTTAGTTCAACAATCGAGCGCTACCGAGCAATTTCAGTTTACTTTTTGCTGAACTACTGATCTGGAATCTAGTACCTTGAATATTTCAGCCCATATGCTTGTCTTCGGATTGTAGATGAAATCCGACAGGGCATATATCGAAGCCTCTTTCACCCCAACAGCCTTCTAAGTGGAAACGAGGATGCCGCATCGAACTTCGCGCGCGGATACTACGGAGCACCGCCCCAACTCCTTGAAGCCTCGTACAACCAGCTGCGACACCTGGTGGAAGGCTGCGACAATCTGCAGGGGATTAATTTGTACCGAACCTACGGTGGTGGCACTGGTGGCGGATTCGCTTGCAGTAAGAATCACATCTCTTTACCTGTTGCACTGGGACGCAAATCGTCCAATGAGATCGCAGTGTTTTTTGTTTTTGTGTGCAGAGCTGATTGAACACGCCGCGGAGGAATTTAACAAGATCTCGCGCATGGACTTTGGAGTGATGCCGAGTGTCACGCTGTCGGCCGGTCCAGTTGAACCCTACAACGCCGTGTTGTCGAGCCAAGTACCCACAGAATATGTCAATCTGGCGAGTTTGGTCGATAACAAGGCCCTCCAACGCATCTGCTGCTCTCTCCTCAAAATCCAGAAGCCCAGTTTCACAAATTTGAACCGAATCATAGCCCAGGTGATTGCCTCTACAAGGTCACGCACTAGCCACCCTCAGGGCTGACAATTTCATGCGATTGTTTTAGTGCGTTAGTGGACTAACCGCGACGTTCAGATTCGAGGGTCCGACCTCAGTGAACATGACTGACCTTCACACCAACCTTGTCCCCTATCCCGATGCTCACTTTGCCATGATTGGATTCGCGCCATTTCTGGATCTCGAATCCGCTTGTAGGGGTCGTAAGTTTGGCCTTTTTTGCAGCAAATATTCGTTCGTTTCAAAAACGCGATTTCTTTATTATTCTTAGCTAAGAGTTACATGGTAGAGGGCAAAATTTTTTGCCACAATCCCACTTAAATTGCATCCAAGAGAGATCATCATGAGTTCTCAGATTTGATTGGTCAAGATTTGACCATGAAACTGGGTGCAATGATAGTCGGGGATTGATGACACTAACCGAAGGTTTTTTCACATTTGGGAAGAAACGGACACGACATCTCTTACGGAGTCCGTATTTTCGTCTGAAAACCAATTGATTTACAATACGGATGGACCCAAGGTGTACCTGTCGTGTTGTCTTTTTTACCGGGGCAACGCAAGTGTCCGGGATGTTAGCGCATGCATCGACGACATGCGATCAACCAGCAAGCTGCCATTCGTTGATTGGTGTCCGACCGGATTCAAGGTCAGTTTGTTGAGCCAATCCAATGGTCCCTCTGATTTCATTGGCTAATTGGACTAAAATGCATTTAAGTGAATTCATGCGTAAATAAGGCGTTGCCACGGAAAGGTTAATGAGGGAATTTTTCATTTAACAAGGTCGGTATCAGCTACCAACCAATGACGATCATTGAAGCTAGCCGAATCGGGCCCTCAGACACGTCTGTCATGGCATTGCACAATTCAACGCTGTTCAAGGCGCCAATTCACGAAGTGACGTATGCCGTTGACATCCTCATGAAAAGACGAGCCTTCCTGCATTGGTTTCTTGCGGAAGGCTTAGAATTTGATGAAATCCAACATTCCTTGACCACACTACAAAACCTCGAAGCCGACTACGATTCGGTAATCTGGACCTTTCTTAACACCTTACTAATTGCTATTAAGTAGACAAATTTTAGGGGATGGCAAACATTTCAAATTTGCAAAGAAGCTTGACGACGGTGTACCGCTTCCTCTGAATCCGTTTGCAACCACAGAGATCTAATATGTACAGCTTAGTTAGTCAGGAGCACTTTACATACAGGCAAAAGTCTGTCGTGCGTGGGTCGATAAATATATCCAACGGTGGACTAACTACTTACAATCTGCTAGTAGTGCGATATTTAACTAATTTTAGGATAATGTATTGAGTTTTAATTTAAAGAAAGAGGCCTCCTATTGGTAGAACTTTATTTTCTTATTTTACATATTGTCTCGTTTTTAGTTCATAGCCAACACCGATACTGCCACAAATCCAAAAGAAAAAGTAAGAATTAAAGCATATTTTTTGAAATTTTCACCCTATTTATTCAGTTCCAGGGCTGGATTATATTTGCTCTGAATCCCCGAACAAACATTTGAATTTCTCGCTTTGATATCTAATAATGATTGCTACTGAAGATGGTCAGTAGCGTGTTTCCCGAAATGCTAATTTTTGGCCCTATTTAACTAGAAATTGGCCTGAGGAAAACACTAATAGCTTTTCTGAATAGACAATATATTGAGAAATTGTCCTTAATTCATTCTTGAGTAAAACTTGATGAGTTTCTTACTTTAAGCCACCTGAAACGAAATCAAGAAATTACGATAACTACTTCTCAACCGAGGTAATCACTTGTTAAAAATTTTAAAAATACACTGTTTAATTCTAATCGATTTTACGATACTATTCTTTGTTTTAACCAATAGGGTTTTTAACAAACCAGGGTAGCCTGATAGTAATTACATCCAAATAACGCGGTGATCAACAATGAAAGGTGTTATTTTTGATATCTTTTGAAAATTCAATGCAGATTCGCTTCACGATAAAGCGACAAACGCGCCATGAGTTGGGCTAATTAAAACAAATTGTTGCCAGTTGTTTTAACCAAAACAGTGGCGCCAAATGAGCAAGCTCAAGGTTAAAGCCTTAAGATCAGCTATCAAGGCAAATAAAACTGCAGTTTAATTTTGCTCAGAAAACGGTTCTAAGCATTTTTTTAAATTATTGATTACTAAAGCCGATAAATTGTCTTTACAGAAATTCAGAGAACGGTTTCCTAGGAAGAAATCCTATAGAACCGACGACAACTCGGTCAGCCATTCCCTGGCTCGCAAAATTCCTGTAAGATTTTGTCGTAAAGAATAATTCCCTGTACCACACACAAGCTGTTTTCGCCATCAAATCCGTAACAGATGTAAAACAAGACAACAGGAATTTAAACTAGAATTTCGACTGCGATTGTTTTCTAGCGACCAAGCCCAAGGAGATCCGATAGCAAGTACGATTGGAAATCGAATCCACTAAGATCCGATAAATTAGCGGTAAGTTAATCCCAACAATCCTCACTTAGCCTCGCCACTCCCCACAAATAATTCACCACTACTGAAATGTGCACCAGTAGCATATGTTGATTGTACCTGCTTTTCAGAAACTGCTACCCAGAATGTCAGACAGCAAAGTTGACTCGAAACCGTATAAGACTACGCAGGAAACGAGTGCGGTGAGTTTGTTTAAATGTCCTCCGTTAATTTGTTAATAACACAGATTTGTGCATTCAAACCATAATGTGGATGTCCCCCTTATTGCAAAAATGAAGCATCCGCTTACTGAAAAGAGCCTTTACTAAAGGCATAGTTAAATAACTATCAAAATTTCATTGATTTCCATGATCTACGTTTTATTCATTTATTTGGCATTCAATTCTGCAATTCTAATATTGTTCAAAATAAACGAAAAAAGAAACTACTACTGAATGTTTTGAAGTAACCATTAACGTGTCTTAGCGCTTGTTACATAAGATGACATTACTTTTGCAACAAACAAACGTGTACGAAACGGATTTTGACGTGAGTTTTGAAATAACATGAAGATTGACATAAAGTGGCATCACCAATGAAAAACATATCGTTAACGGAGCACCAGTCTTTACCATTCGAATTCACTTGGCTCCATTGGATCGTCAATGTCGTTTTTTTCTAGAAACCGAAACCCAGAAGGATAGAGAATAAACGCGAACTGAAATCAAGTCGCTCCACAACAGAAAGGGGCTCTGTAAGTTCATTTTAGTTGGATCACTTATTGGAAGCCCACACTGATGCCGTCGTGAAAAATAGTAACATGACGTACTACTTTTGAAATTAGGTAGGCATTATTTTACTAAAATTGATTCACTAAATCTGCCTGAAGTGAGACCAGATCGGCAAAAGGTTTGCTAAATCGCTTTACAACTACCTAATTCTCACTCATGAAGCTGTATTGACATGATTGCTGTAGAATTGGGAGCAATTATTATTTTGGAAGGTCATAAATTCATTTGAAATTTTTAAAAAGCAGTGACAATGTCAACATTTTGCAGAGATCAGAAGGCAGCCAAGTCTACTTCCGTGACTTCAATCACAATGTGGAACGGCACAACATTCATCGACGACAAAGCTCGACAATGACGCCGCACGATGATACTGCCTCGACAACAATGAATATCCCATCGAACCCCAAGAACTACCTCACCGTCGACGCGCCTCACAGCCTACCGAACAAGCGAATGTCGCCATCTAGTTCGCTATCAACAACAGCAAACCTCGCGACGTCAATCATGTAGAAATAACCCGAACCTCAATTCCTATTTAATATACATGATCTACTTAAAATATGTAAGTAACAATTGTTTTTTTTCGATTCCAGACTGAACGAAGACGAATTTATCCGGGAGTTAGAACAGAGTGTGAAAAACGAACTCTCCGACATGTTCGACATCCTAGAGAGCCTTAGTGCACGCGAAGAATCAGCAAATGTTTCGACCTTGCAGAAATCGAACCACCACAACCGCCATTACCACCATCATCATCACCACTGCCGCCACCACCACAAAAGGCAACACCCCGCGCGACCTTGAGCTCCCAGCCACCAATCACGCTGCTCGCATACTCCTTTTTGCCAATTGTGCATTTTAGATTTTTCATACTTGTTGATTTCGTGCACTTAGCTTGGCTATTTTCATTTACTGCTTAATTTTTGTATTATGACAAGCATTAGTTTAATTTATTTGATTAAAAGAAAAAATCTTGGCCTTTTTTGCAACCAACGTAACCTGGAACTAGTAAGTACAAACAGCTAGCACCCTCAAAATGTTAGAAAAAGGTGTGCCGGACACCAAAAACAGAACAAAATTGGGAACAGTCGACAATTCATTTGGGATTTGACAGGAAGGGCGCAATGAACGCGCGGTAGGCGTCTTTGGCTGCCGCATTTGTTGGAATGAAGTGACCGCCGGGGTGAACAAGGGTTGTCTGAGGGGCGACGTACATGGGCAGGAGATCTTTGGTCATTTCTGCGCAAGGACAGACAAAACTCGCGCTCAACACTCCAGCCAAGTCATTAAAACAACGCCTACGACTACGACAGTAACCAAAACGTTGGACAGACGTAGCTAAGCGGCTTCAGCTTCGACGAAATCGCATCAGCCCTGTTTTAAGAGAAAATTGACGCACCTGCGGGTATCACTTTGTCGTCTTCTCCGTAAACGAGGAGTGTCGGCATTTGGATTACTCCGCTGTACAGCGGAGCGTGCAGCGACGACCGGCTCTTGAAGGTTGCGACGAGGATGGCGAATTTCACCACGGGTGCATCCCATTCTACAAGTAGACGAACCGCAAAAATACTCACCTTCAGGGTGTTGTTCCATGAGGATTTGCAGGAGGGTGACGAACGCCGCGCCCTGGCTAAACGCCAAAATTCCATCAAACGGACCCTGTGACTTGAGGGCCTCTTTGACAACGCTGACAGACTCATCGAAACCTCGGAGGAAGTCGGTGTTTTCACGGGCATTGAATGAGTCGTCGGGTTTGGAAAACCACCAGCCGTTGCCCTGATCGGAGCCATCGGTGCTTGGGATCTTCAGAGGAGAATCGATGAAGACTAGCTAGCTGTGAGTGCCAGTAAGGTAGTCCTTACCGAATTCGCAGGAGCCTTTAAAGATCTTGCGGAATGAACCTGATTTTTCTCGAAAGCCAGCACCGGATTGCCTTCAATTAGGAGTAACAACGATGTGGTTAATTTTATTACAATAGAGCTTAAGCGATCATGTCGATAGAATTGAAAAGGACACTATCAGTAAAAATAATAAACAGGGAGCAACTCAAATGCCAAACTACAAGAAATACATGTATTAACTAAAAGCAGCATCCAGCTTCGATAAAGCAGTCAAAATACGAAGCTAACTTTCAGGTAGCGGCAATGCCGTAAAGGAATAATCAGATATTTCCTTACACCAAAAGGGGAAACGGTAAACAGCTGGGACAGGAGTATGAAAACAGATGATTCTCTAGGAATAAGTACAGACATGACGAGGGTGTCGACACGTCAACAACGTCTGAACGAGATTATAAGAAAAAGAAACTACATCGATGTCTGCATGGGATGTAGCCAATTTCGAATAGTGAATCTCGTCATAGAAGTTACTGATTAATTGTTATCGAAGATCCTTTGATAGTCCCCCAGTTTATAGAAGTGAATAAAATTCAAACCGATCAAAATTGATTTAAAATAGAGCGGAATTTTGTCAATCATATATGCATACAATTAGAGAAGATTCGAAACGCACCGATAACCATGAATACAGAGGATCTACAGAAAACACATTAGAACTTTATACAAAACAAACCCTAAGTGACATCGTAATACAGCACAAAACGTAGTCAGTGACGACAATCAGCAGAGTAGTGCTATTGTAGTGTGGTGTTGCTGAGGTGTGGTGAGGCGTCGGATTAGGGCGCAGACATGTTGGACCACCTGGATTCAGCCAATCCCGTGTCTATCTGCGATTTAATGGCATGCGGGAAGGGAAGGCAGCCAACCAGAGAAAGACATGGATGAGATGCAGTATATAATGAGCGGCGTGGCCAGCGCGGTGGACTCGGATGGAAGGCGCCTGAGGCATGGCTCTGGCTTCTGATTGGTCAATAAAGCCTGTTCTGTTGTACCGGTCTTTTTCCTATTAGGGCTCGGTTATTCTACAGTGGCGTCGTATCAGGGCGCAGACATGTTGGACCACCTGGCCGCAGCCAATCCTGTGTCTCTCTGTGTTCCAATGGCATGCGAGGAAGATAAGCAGCCAGCCAGAGAAGGACACGACTGAGGTGCAGTATATAATGAGCGGCGTGGCCAGCGTGTTGGACTCGGATGGAAGGCGCCTGATTTGTGGTTCTAGCCTGTGATTGGTCAATAAAGCCTGTTCTGTTGCACCGGTCTTATTTCTACTAGGGCTCGGGTATTTTACATCGGTGGCAGCGGATGCGTTCGAATAACGCGAATCAAACCCAAGCCCTTTCCTTAAAATTGACAACAGAGGAGAAAACCCTTAAATGTCAGCTGAAGTTGTCATGGTGGTCATCCAATATCTTATACACTGGATCCATAGACATTGCCCGGGATTAGGACTTCTGCATCTGAAGAGGCATTGGCAGCTCAGCAGCGACGACTTGGACAGTGAAAGCCAGCTAGACTGCAACTGCGAAGGGACATACGATGGATTGAAAGTCCTTCCTGCAAGTCTACAAGAGCAAAGTCCCTCGTCAACTATTCGCGTGGGCCACTAACCAGCCAGATGTGGGGTGCGGGGAGTGTCGAACTGGATATTTAGACAACCATGAACAGTGCAGTGAACCAAGCCAGAAGCTGAGGACAGCTTCACTCCTGAGGAGGAGGCAGTGTGGTGACGTCTGAGGGCGCAGACATATTGGACCACCTGGCCTCAGCCAATCATGTGTCTCTCTGCGTTCCAATGGCATGCGAGGAAGATAAGCAGCCAGCCAGAGAACGTCACGCGTGAGGTGCAGTATATAATGAGCGGCGTCGCCAGCGTGGTGGACTCGGATGTGTTGAAGAGTTACAGATAGCAGCCATATTGGTGCTAATCCATTGGTCGAAGGTGAGAAGCACGCCATGGTGGCGACGTCATGTGACCGGGGGTGCGAATTCCGGCTGTGTGGCGTCACGCGGGCATCGAATGACTCGCCGGGGACTGAGAGCCATTCCGATAATGAGTTTTCCGTCTGCATTGCAGCGCCGTGGAACGAACCAATTGGAGAACAGGAAGACCAATCCCCTGTTTTTCCCCATACGAGTAACCAGACTGTAGTGCTTTCTGTATCTAGTAAAGTTATTCGTGTTACCTCTCAGCCTTGTTTTTATCATGGACCCGAAACCTACAGATGGAAGGCGCCTGACTTGTGCCTCTGGCTTGTGATTGGTCAATAAAGCCTGTTCTGTTGTACCAGTCTTCTGCATACTAGGGCTCAGGTATTCTACATTACACAGCATGTAACGCCGAAGCACTGTTCATACATACTGGATTGCGTTCAGATTAGCCAATCTTCAGAGGATAACCTAACTGTAGATTATAATGGATTAGCAAATATTCCGTTTGTCAGAGCTACTGATAGGTAATAGCCTTTGGACTTTCCTTTTTACCGATAGTTTGGCATAGAGCATTGTAGCCCGTGTATTTTCAGAGCAAACTGGATTACTTAAAATCTGAACTAAGTTTGTTAGCTTATTTCTGGGTGCAAACATTCCACATAATATATTCCATATAAGCTGCGTGCGCCACTTACTTTCATGTCCAGATTTTTGGTGCATGCGTTTTTAGTCACAAGAGGCCACTTTGCTTTAAAGGATGTAAAGTGCCTAACTGAACGACATCATATTACTTATTTCACGCTTATGGTGCCTAATTCGTCACGATTTGCGATAACAATGAAAACCCTAAGGAGATTTTAATCTTTTAAAGATTGAAAATAACGACAATCTGTCGCAGTGAATTTGCGAGTTAACGCACCTCTTTTTTGTGAACGTAGAAACCAACGATGGTTAGTTCAGAGCAGGAAAAATGGAATATTTTGTGGTTGCGTTTATCGTGACGACAAGATTATTTAACCGACAGCGTTGGCCATTCTGTTTAATTAGAATTCTTTTGTTACCAACGGTGCATCTGATGATCACTTTGTATGTCGTTAACAGCGCTATTGTGGACATTTAATGCGTCATTAGATGGACATTGTACGTGACGATAAGATGATGGATTTTTAAAAAAAAATTTATGCAGGGTTAGAGAGGTACACGTTTCCAAATTTAATGTGTCTGTACCGATCATGTCGGTTTATTGATCGTCACTTTAAAGGCACAGGCAAGAATGAACACACTCTAAATGGACTAATGGCTACAAGATGAGAGAAGATTCGGGATACTTTTTCGATTAAGTAACAAACAAGATAGGATTGTGCTGCCAATGCGATGTCAGTGAACATGGCCGCATTTGAAAAATGAGATGAGACAATGGTATCTCGGTACTATTTTGCTAATATTAAATTCTCACGAATCGAACTGGTAAGTGGTGGTGGTCAGTCATTGAATCTTCAGCAGCTATTTATACTTGTTCAAAGAATCTTGTTGGCATTTGACGAAGAAGGAGGGGATAGTGGTTCAAAGCCAAATCCAAATTAAGAAGATAAACGGATACTTAAATCTTCTTTTCAAACTTTTTAGTATGCTGGATGTGGTGGTCTCAATTTTTATTCGGTGAGTCCTGAAAGAAGATTACTAAGACGGGTGACTGACATTTAAGTAAGTTCAGTTAATCACATGTATTGTTAAGGCTAGTTTCTTGTGAATCTAGTTTTATCTGGCCTAGTGACTGCAGGATTCGAGAACATTTCGCATTCTAAATGTTCATACAAAAAATTATTTTAATGTTTAGGCGAATGCTTGCTGCATTCACTCGTGGGTTACTGGGTCAACTTTACGCTTTCCTGCAATGAATTAGTACCAGACTTATCATTCCTCATAAAATTGTAGGCTCGGATAGATCACTCATGTTCGCGAATGGTGTTGCCGGTATATGCGAGAACCAACCACAAGGAACAAGTTCCGATTCCTATTGGATAACTCGATCCTCCAAATTTCCATTGTTCGAAGAGCATCAAGATCACCTTGATATAACGGCATGTAGGTCTAGACAGCAGACATACCAGGAAATGTGGGTGCTGTACCGAATTAAGCATTTGCCGTAGACCGTGACACCCCAATAGCAACGGGATCTACAATCGATTACTTCAAAAATAGGTCCGTAGTGAGTCGTGTTCATGCATGTCCGTCCCCTCCACCTGGCATATCGATCGCTTCTGGCGCGGTTGCCACACCACGCCGACTGTATTGGTTAAAAGGCTTCACGTTGTGTTGCATAAACACGAACGACCTCACGCACGCGTGCAACTGTGTTGAGTCGTTCGCAGTCTGACACCCATTTGGGAGTTTGACATCCACAATCTAAACCATCTCCACTTCCATTGACTTTAAAGCGTCTTGGGCAATCCCGTTACCTCGGGTTGTTTGATACGAATTTCGATTAATTTACCCAGCCCACATCAAAACATAAATAATCAGTAAGAGGTCAAGGACAACAGTGCACACATACACACAGAAATAGATTTTTGTAAGAAAATTAATCGAGGTTACAACGAAGTCTATCGTCATTATTATGCTTGTTGAGTGAAGGTGACAACATCAGTGAAAGTCACGGGGAAGGCGTGGAGGGAGATCGCTACTTGGCTCGCGCGGCTGCAGCCTTCTGTGGTTCAAGTTGTCGCCCCAAATACTCCCTGAAATGCCAAAAAACAAACAAATATACATACATACAGCCACCACACGAAGCTGTGGAGGGACGCGCATGCAAGCCAACGCACCAATTGTGAACCATGATCTTCTGCAGTGCGAGAAGAGCGTTGTAGCGAACACTGGCGTCGTTGTGCTGCAGCAGCGACATGACCACTTGCTTCCCACCCAGCTGATCGATGACTCTACAAAAGGGGGGAGGGGGAAGAGGTAGCGCGAATTACTGCAGAATTAAGGCGAAATGCGCAAGAAGAAAGGGCAATGATTGGCTTGTAGCGCGTACTGTTTTCCGCGGGGGTAGTGCCGAACAAACTCTCCAACGTCGTGAGCGGCCACTGAGAGAATCAACGGCTCTGTCGAGTTCTCCATTAGGTAGACGAGCATTCTACAACGAAGAGAAACCACGCAGACGGTTAGTCTTGAAGTTCGGCTGTGAAGAAGAGGCATCACATCAGGTTGTTACAGAAGACATCCACAGAGGTTTTAGTCATCAACCTCAGGCGCGATGGACGCCTCACTCTTCTAGACGTGAGTCCACAGCTGGAATGACGACCCCAGAATTTACCCAGCATTACGATAAACTTGAGATACGTTAATGCGTCTAGCAGCTGTAAGTGAACAATTTTGAATTGAGACAATTGGGCAGGAAAGAAAGTAGACGCTGGGGTCATTTTCTGGGGGTCAACGTAGAGTCGGGTCGAATTCCTACAAGGTCAGTTGTTCTAGCAACACAAAATAACACGTGATTTAATCTGCTCTGGTGGAGGGGGTCGTTAATTAACCTTTCCAGGTGTGTCAATTCGAAGAAATTCAGAGAATGAGCTGATGGAGCATCTGCAGTAGCAAACAGCAAAATATCGCGTACTTCAGGAGCTCGTAGTTCTTGTCCGTAAACTTGACGGCATTTTCACGCCAGAATTTCTCGGATTTGTGAACAGGCGACCACTCCAACCGACCCGAGGTCAATTCAGTCGCGTACTCCTCAAGACTGCTAACATCTTGCACGCTCGCCTTAAGGGTCTCCTAAAACGCAATGGAAGCCGCTTTAAAGGGGAATAGCAGAACAGCAAAACGACTATTAATTGTTGCATTCGTGATAATGAAGTCACGCGATTTGAGTACCGCCTTGATTCGACCATTGCCATCTTCAGTCCGGTCACTTTCCGGAGAAATCCCCGGCACAAAGTTGTTTTAAACAAAATTCCTACACACCACAAACTTTCCGGATGTCACTGTGAGCCTAAGTAGATTTCCTGTCGTTATGGAAATGCGTAGGAAGTTTGTCTTCGTATTCTGGTAGCAGTTACGCACATTATCACGTGAAATTTTCCAAGCCACAATAGCGAGAAAGTCGTACCTGAAGGAATTTGAGATCATCGGTCATCTCAGGGTCATGACTAAAATCCTTCTGCGCTAGGAGTTCGAGGCGTTTCAGGACCTTGCATTGGACCATGCGGAGGGAACACTCACGCACCAGAGCCGGGTTTTCCAATTTCTCAAGCACCGACTACACGAAAGACGATGTGAAAACATAAGAATCAACAAGTTAAGAAAGCGCTAAAATAGTGAACTAACACGAGGATAAAGAGATTTGAGGCGATATTATTATTGAACGCAACTCACCCGAAGAAAAGCCATAGAGATGCGCAGGACCTTTTCTCGTTCGGCTTCACAAAAGACATCAGAAACCGCGGGTAGAAGAGTAGGGTCCCTGCAACAAACAGGGGCCAATGTTTTAGCCAAAGTCAAAAAAATACAGGCACCAGACATGCATATCGAGTGCTCGGAAAGACATACTTCACCATTGACTGCACAAGATCACCATTGAAACTGAGACACCAAAGGCAAAAAATGAGTTGATAATGAAGTTCGCAGTTGGTTTCCTTGCCACTAAGTACTTTGACAAGCCTGCAAATTGAGAGGATATCAGACAGAAATGTACATAACTAAATTAAATAAAATAATTTGACCAGATCTTACGTGGCTACGCCCTGTCTCGATAAGAAAACACCCCGATAATTCCGGATGCGTAGTAGCATTTGCAAATTACGGGCAATCGTTTGCAAATATTCGTTATTCTAAGGATAAACATGAGATACAATGTTGAATGTCACAAGAGAAGAAAATTATGAGTTAACTTACTGGTTGTTGGAGGTGCTCCAAACACCAATCAAAAAAGAATTTCAGGGACTTTTCCTCCATTTGGTTAGTCGACCAACAGGCAAGTTTTGTGATTATTTTTGAAATCTTAAACACAATTTTACTCAGCATATGATAGTTTTACCTGATAAACACAAATCAAGTCTGATCGTTGAAGGAAATTAAAGAAATGATTCCATATGTTTTCTGATTTCGAGTCAAAATAACTCCTGAAAAGTTCGACACGAGACGTTTCTTCCTATTTGTATGTTTTGGTCAGAAAATGAACTTGCTTTAAGCATATCATCCATTAGAGAAAGCAGATACTGCAACGTCTGTTCCTTCGAGATGCGGTTTAGAAGGGATATAAATATTTGCGCAACCTAAGAGGTTTAATGAAAAAATGCGTTACAAACCTCGCCCCGAAACTCGTTTATTACGCGATTGCGTGATTCAACCGTAGTTGCATTATCAAGGCGTGAAATAAAATCAAACTGCCTCTGAGTAATCATCTGTCCCCTAAATATAATTTCCTCAATTGGAACTTTTGCTTACTGTAGATAAGATTGCCAATTAACACGAGTAAGCCGGATTTCGGCTACCTTCCCTTCCAAATTTGTTACTCCAACTCTTCCTTGCAGGGCTACAAGATAAAAACATGGTTTGGAGCGGGTTTACCACCATAGTCCAGATCCTGGATGCTTGAGTTCACGAACCCTGACGGTTGCGACATCTCACCAATTGATGTACTGCAGACAATAAGCAGACATTCGCACCCACTAGGCACTCAGTCGAAAAAACTGATGCTGATGATGCTCCAGTGTTCAGTTTTCTGTGGGTATCACCTTAATTTCAGTGCATATCTGTCCTGAAAAAATTTTTTTAATGAAAACAGGCATCTACATTTGGTCTATTCTCCAACTTTGAAACAAGTACGCTTGCATTGTTTGTTTGTTATAACTTCCTGCCATTCCACTTTTCTGAATCCAAGCACTATTGACTCAAACCACAGCAAAAGTCTGTTGGTCAACAGTGGTCTATTTTCAGCAATTAAACTTTGTTTAGACATCCTTTTTCTCGTTATATTGGTTTTCGTATCCGGTAGTCCGGAATACATTAGGTGCACCTCCAATGTCACATGTCCTGTAGTCAACCACGGTTATGTGACTATCTAGGACGGTAGGTACTTTAAACAGCCCAATCCCAATTTCTTAAAATTTTAACGTGGAACTGCAGTGAACACTAATTTAACAGCGTTGAAATATGCTGTTTCCTAAATTCCATAATGGCAAATCTTATAAATGATCAATAAACTTTTCAGTGAATTAACCACATAAATTGCATCTGATAATCTAAATGATAGCAGTAAATATAAATTTCAAGAATGAACGTCGTCTAAGGGAAGGAACATAGTACCACCATTATTTTTTTCATAATAAATTTACATGTTGGTTCTGCGACCGCTACTCAACCCGAACTGATCCTTTTGTAGCATTGGTGCCTTTTCATTAGCATAAATTTAAGCATCAGGAATCTTGCTTTACTCTAATTAATGCAACTTCACATTATTCGCTTTTCTGACTATATTTAATTTTAATATGTGATTACTTTAATTGTTGCCATGTTAGAATCTATTTTGGCTTGCGATTTTGTGTTTATTATCAACGTTTTTCTTTACATGTTCGTGAGTCGGTATCTTTAGGCACAAAAAAGGTAATTTGTTCGTCCATTTCAGAGCAATTAAAACTGGAGTCATTTCGTAGTGATATAGAATTCTAATTATCGTCTGACCCTTCATTGGCCTCATGTACTCATCTCACGTATTAATCCAGGCTGCATCTTAAAATGGTTTTGGTGTAATCTTCCAAATAAAATTAGTCCAGGTTAATAGATTGCAGAGTCAAAAGCTTAAATAAAATATGATTAACCGAATTGTCGTCATGTAATAGTGTAGTAGTTAAAAAATGGTGAGTATTGAAACTGAAACAGGTTACAACACATACCCACGACCTGCTACCCTTAGCAAATCGATTATAATACCGTGACTTCAATCTAATCGACTTCACTTAGGTCGACTTTTTGTTCATTAAATTGATGTTGTCTGCGACCTAGGGATAATAACCCGAGAAGTATCACTAGAGAGATTCCCATGCAACTTTATCTTGGCGAATCAGCTCCATTTAGCCATTTAAGACAGTCTCAATTCACTATTTAGCTAGATCAATGTGTTAGATACGTTTTGGCAGTACGGAACAAACCAAACCGTGGTTTCACAGCCATTTCCCTCATTCTCGCCTCGTCTGCCAATTAGATAGATTTTTCCTAAAAACGGCAAAATGAAGCTGGTAGCATTGAAATGAAAGAGCAGAATCCACTGATAATGTAACTATGGGTCCTGTGGTGGGATCGCGAAGGAATCAGTTCGTGCAAGCTTCTCTCGCGTGACCAAACAGCAACATCGCGGATGTACCGTGACAGCCCACCCAACTCAATGCTGGTTTCCAAACAAAGAGTGCAAACTTGGCCAACAGAAACGATATCCCACTTCAACCTGACGACGCTAGACCACGTGTTGTTCAACAGACACAGAAACAAATTAGAGAGTTGAAATGGGATGCTATTTACCAGCATCCGCCGTATTTCCATGAAGTTCCCCATAGCCTTGCCTCATCCGATTTCGAACTGTTTTTTTTATTTTCTGAAAAATAACTGAAGTGTCAAAAATGTGGCGCTTTGGCTGCAGTCAAAACATTCCACCACACCGTTTCGAAAAAGAAGGAATTCGATAACTTTAGACAAGTTGGCAGTTGTCAGAGACGATGCAGAGTTCACTATTGATGAATAAATATTATTTACCACGAATCTTGGGTGTGTTCAATTTGTTTCCAAATCGTGTTTTACTCGGCTGTCTTGTTGTCGTGTTTCAATGCCGCAAAGTCATGTATACTTTAAAGTAACTGGCGGCTAGGCAGCCAAGCACGACCCTTATCAACTCAGAATCTTTTGAACTGGGAAAACGTCAACATTCAAGGGGCTCTACACTCTCAATCGTGATTTTTCTGAACCTCAACCATCTCTCGGGTGCTTAATACCTGAAGGCATCGGCGACGACCAATCACCTCGCTTCGTCACACGACCAATCAAATTAGAAGGAAAGACCCGTCGATTCTTGTCCATAAGTAGGAGCACTCTGGGTAGTCGTCTTAATTGAATTCTACTATCGATGATGCTTTTATCGGTTCTTCCGGCAGTCATTCCCCTCTTGAACACGTCTACAGGTTACAAGTACCCGCGACCTTGCGAGCTTCATAAACGTCCAAATGTGCGAAGCTGTCCAGCAACCGGCTGTGTCTGGTCTTCCTATTGGTTCCTTGGTATCTGCCATTAACCAATCAGCGATCCCAGTGTAGCAGTCTCCAAAGCCCTGGCGCTTGGTACAGTGATTCTGGCCAGAAACACAGGGATTTTAGCATATTGCCATCAATAAAATGCACCTAGGAGCGCCGAAATGTAGCTTAATCATTGAACTGGTAAAACTCCGCCATTTATAACAGGAGACCTGGGGAAGGTAAATTCCAGACTCGATTGTGAAAACAATAAACCAATTAAATCAACAGACTTGCTGTCTTACAATCAAAGAGTCTACAAAGAATCACATGAAAACCGCTTTAAGCACTAAGGCTTTTAGTAAACAGAAAAACAGAAAAAAATGGGGTTTGAGTGAAGCCCACGGGGTTGCCGGATCGGCTGATTTCGATGTGCAAAAGTGGAGTCGTTGGTAGCATTCACTTTGGCAGTTTTGAGCACCTGTATGTGCGCCCGTCGATGTTGATGATCATTGGTTGGCCCATATCTAGGGGCTTGGGTGGGGGACCGGCAAAACTCAGAGTGAAGGCTGGTGGAAGCTGATTGGGTGATGTCACCGGTCTGCAGATCGCTTGTGCCAGATTGGAATGTGGACGAGACCACTGCGAGGCGTCGTGGTAAACGGGTTCAGTTTTCCAAAGAGCAACAGGAGGCATTGAAAGCGAGGGGGTGGAGGCGACCTTCTGTTGGCATGCCCGAGGTGCAGGTGGTGGAGATGGTGTCAGAGACCCACGGATACAATTCAACATCTCATTTTCAAAGGCTCGTTCCTGCTGAATCTCCTCCAACATCTCGAGTACCTTCTGGCATATGGGAGACCCCGTATCCAGTTCACGACCCTCCACATTTGTAAATGTACCATTTCGGGGTGGACTTGGTTCGCGCTTGGTGTACTTCTCGAAGATGCCTTGGTCCGAACGAGCGGCTTCGACAATCGAAGGTATGGTCTCAATGATGCTCTTCATGCCACATCGTATGTCAGCTAGTTCCTCTGACAGCTGCTGCAGCTGGCCAACTTCGAATTTGGACTGAAGTTGATCCAATGCTGCCGGTTGACGCTCCATCAGCAGACGCATATTCTGCTGCAGTTCAAGCAGGCTTTCTTTCACCTCAGTGTAGTTCTGATCGCCAGCGTTCACCGACGGTGGGGGTGCTTGGCTGATTTGTTGGATGCTCTGTTGAATATCTTCCAAAATCTTCAGCACATTGGCATTACCTTGAGAGAGAGTTTTTCCATCCACTGAAAATGACCCACCTGAACTTTGTCGTCTAAAAACTGGGCTCTTGGTGGCTGAATTTCTGGAACTCGATCGACGCGTGGATGCGCCGTCTGTACTCCTCCGGCTTCCCGTTATGTCGGTTGGAATATCTGGACCAACGGTTTTCTTGGAACCATTCACCACAAACATGTTAACGGAGGGCCGTTGTGCGATGGAAGCCATCATGGATTTTCTGTCTTGGATCCTATTAATGCCGCTCTTTATGTCCTGCAACACGGACACCATCCCGGGCTCAAGGGTGTTCTTCTGTTTCGAACGATGTGTCTCCAGGGCTCGAATGCTATAACGAATGTCCTGAAGCAGATGACCAACCTCTGGACCCACATCTGCCTGAGACACCATGGATTTCCTCTCCATTCGCATAACGCTCTGTCGCGTGTCATTAAGCGCCTCCATTATCTGCTGGTTAGTGAGGTCCGCATTCTGCAATTTGACTTCTTCCACGGCTCTGATGCTCTGGCGCACCACATCCAACATCGTCATGAGCTCCTCATTTGCTTGCTCTTGAGCATCTTCAAATTTCTCCTCGATTTCATTGACTGTCATCCGTACGCCCGCCAGAGCGTCTAGGACCTGGGCTTGAGAACCCTCTGCAAGTTTGTCTTGGTGGATGGTATTGAGGTTGTGGATGCTATCGCGAACCTCAGAAAGCATGTTGATGACGTCCGGACTTGTAGCGCTGGTGTCCTTGTTTTCAATTACCTGGATGCTGTGTCGAATCTCATTCAGGGCATTCCAGATCCCAGAATTTTCACTACCATCTTGTGGAAGTGATAGCGCCTGGCTGGGACTCCGACTCACCGACTTAATATTAAGTCTAGACCGTCTATACGAATTACTAGGACGTACTTGACCGCTTACAGAAGATCCTAGCGGCCTTGCTTCTCCGAATTCGTCCAAAGAACTGACTCTTTCAGGTCTCTGGTTCAGCTGGCTCTCGTCTAACGCCGCTTTGGTCTCCAAATCTGCTGCCTGTCGTTGATCCTTGTCACACGAGCTGCCTGTATCCACGCTAAATGCCACTGGGCATGGCTTCGGAGGACGCAGAGTGGTACAACAACCGCCCACATCACTATGTGTTGTATTATTTCGCCTTGAACCACACCGATTTGTTGGTTCTATTCTGCATGGACTTCTGCAGCTACCCCTCGACCGTCCAGCGTTCATCTTGCTGGTGCGATCTATGGCAGCCTTGAGAATCTCTTTGCCTTCCGGACCCATGGCAACAACTTTGGCGCATAGCGCCTCCGGCGAGCCTGGTGATTCGTGGGCTGGTAAACCCCTTGAACGAAGTATCTCCTCTGATATCACCGACTCCATTGAGCCCGATAATTTGCCATTTCTAGCAGTCGATTTCACGGTGCTCCTACCCTCAGGGAGCATTGCTGCAACCTTTGAACAAAGGGATGCCAGATCACAGTTGGGGGCTCCTGGAACCGAACCCATTGTGTAGCGGAGCGTCTCAGTTAGTTCATCCACATCGTTGTCCCGTGGCATCGTCACCTCACCCTCGGCTCGAACACCACTCTCGGAACTGCGGCTTCTTGGAGAAAGCGACCTAATGGAGTTGATCAGTCGACTTGAGAGGGTCTTTGTACTTCTACCTCTGCCCGTTGCACCCTCTTCTTCAATCTCCTTCGACCCACGTAACTTCGAAGTGAGGGAACTTAAATTGTGCCTAAACTTATCCGACAGTCTCTGCAGCCTAGTGCTACCTGATGCCCTGTGGTCTGGGTAATCGGGGTGGCTAATTCCATCTCTGGACATGTTACTAGGTCTTTCGCTGACGCTCATGCTCTGAAACACATCGATATTGCGCTGTTCGCGTGCGAGTACGGGACTGCTCACGCGGCCTTGACCCAACCCTACAACTTCCTCAATGTCTGAATGGTGCCGTGATGGAGGTTCCTCTGAAATGTAGGGAACAGCAGACACGGAGGACGGGCCACGGGTAGCCGAGTTCTTCTGAAGAGCATTTGCCGGTAAATTCGATTCCGTAAATAAAAACGTGCCCTTGGGAGTGCCAGTGGTCCTAGGAGATTCACCGGCCTTGGAAGATCTTGAAACAACAGAAGCTCCCGCCACTTGCTTGTTTAAGGATGCATCCGTGGATCGGCCGGAACCAACCGAAAAAGACAACGGCGATTCTCGATTGGTCGGCGATCGCTGGGAAGTCTGCTGCCCTCGTAACTGAGGCTCTGAGGGAACTTCCTGACCTCCACATGCTTCCACCGTCTCCCCATCGCAGACGTGTTCTTCATCGGCCTGCTTGGAGCATTCAGAGTCATTAAGGCTTGTTAGCGATAGTTCTGCCTGGCCTTTTAACAAACAGCTCTGGGGTGGGTTGCTCGCAGAGCATGAAGCGCCAATCGAACAAACCGATCTGCCATTCTCTGCCTGTTGCATCGCCCTGTAGCATTCTGGTATCGGTTTTTGGCAACAAACAGAACCCCCTTGCCTGGGTAATGGACAGTGAGTTCGTGAACTGTTGCATGACTGGGTCTCTGACGCCGACGTACACTCCGGTGTGTCAACGCAATCAATTTTAAGTGATGGCCTCGTACACTTGGACGACTCTTCATTGCATTCTTTTAATGCTTGAATGCTATTTACTAGCTCCCGTAAAATCTTCGATGGATCGCTGCGCCCCTTGCAGCAGATTCTGTGATTCGCCGAAGCACATCTATCCGCAAACTCCTGCTCGTCCCACCATATCACAATCTGATTCAGCACATTCTCAACATCTCGGATGGTGCTGCGTCGTACTGAAGCGTTGGATGTTGTCGTCGCTTCCTCAAGAGTTTCCCTGAGATCCTCCAACAATTTCATAATCTTTGCGGAAATATCACTCTTTGAATTATTGCTGCTAAGGACGTCTTTCAGAATTCTGGATAATTCTGCCGGATTCAACAGCCTTGGTGACGACTCTTCGGATACTGAACATCTCGACGGTGTGACATCGCCTTGGATTCGCTCGATGTAATTGGAAGCTGGTGAGTACAATGAGTCCTCAATTTCAGTTTCGAACTCCACGAAGTTGTTCCAGTTCTGCTGGTGACTGTTGTTGTTGGCTCCACGTCTTCCGCTGTCCGCGTCTTTAAGCCCCGAAGCTGCACCACTTTTCTCGCCCAGATTCACAAGACTTTGTTTTATGTCGGCGAGAACACTGGCATTCTGTGGGTTTGCCTTCAGGACACCTTCAATCTGACTGAATGTGTTTGTAATCTTTGTGACCGTACTGTTTCGCAGTAGGGAACCCTCGGTTTCCAAGGTTTGAACGATTCCGCGCAGTTCAACCAAGATTAGGGATATTTTGGAGTCTGCTGGCACCGGGAACGAGTCTTTCATTCCAGGAACTTGGGATTTCTCCTCTTCAAGCTTGTTTTGGCCAGAAATCATGGAACAGGTACGTCTTGAGTCGGCATCCACCTTACCAAGGTCCGTGTTTTCTCTACTCGGAGACAGCACGGGTTCTGATTGCTCAAAGAATGAGCTTTCAAATTCCCTGATGCTTTGTTTAATGTTGTTTAGCGTTTTTATTACTTTCTGTTCGCAGGATTCACCCACATCCGTCCGCATCATGCTAGCGTCGTTGGCTTTTGAAGTGACGTGTCCTGCGCCCGTAGTCGTGTCCCGTATCACCTGCAGAACTTCGCCGATTTCAGCAACAATTTTTGGACTAACGGGGCCTTGTCGACAAAGTTCACATGTCATGCACTCCAAAATGTTCCCCATCTTCTCCAAAGTGTTCAGATCAGCTCCACCGGTATGAAGAGCATATTTCACACCGTCCACCAAGCCCTGTAGCTGAGATTCCATATCATATCTAGGCGATTTTGCGGGCTGTGTAAAAGGCTGGACAACCTGGTAAAGTTCAGAAATGAGATATTGCAACTCCGCGGTTTCAGTAATAGGACAGTATCCCTTGTCAGAGTCGTCTATTTTGCTGTGAATACTCTGTAGTTCTATCGGTTCATCGCACTGTTGCCTACTGATGTTCGATGCTCTGGCGGTTGGGTCCAGATGCGAGTTAGTAGTCCCAGCCTCCACACCGTTCAAAACCTTTTCCATGTCACACAAAATCCCGAGTAGATTTTTATTGGCGTCTTCACGGGAAATCTCCTCACGTTTGCACACGAGCGACATGATCCGATCTCTGATATTGCCAATTGTGGGAGAGCCCAGTTGATTTCCTTCTGATTGACACAATTCCGGGGCTGAGCAGGCCTGAGGCAGTGAAGCAGCCAACGGAGGATTCCCGCCAGACTTTGTCAGAGACCGTCGACCACCATCGCGATCCTCTGGATGGCGATCGTTGGGCAATTGGTGCTGTGAGTCCACCTTGGACTCTTCGTCCACAGGGCTCATTCTTGAATGAGGTCCATAACTTGAGCGGCTCGAACGGAAGAGGGCCTTATCCGGCGTTTTGTCATCTGACTGCGACTGCTGCTGCTGCTGTTGGTCAGGTTGAAGCGACCTGATTATATCACGGATTTCTTCGAGTGTAGCCAGAGCTGCCTCCTTCATCCCACTCTCAAGTGGCTGCAGTTCACACCGAAGATCCGTCAGCATTCTGAGTACCTGTGTGGTAACACTATCCCTTGGGTCCATCTGCTGGTGATGATCTTCCATGCAGCTGACTTTGGCGGCACAGGGTTTTGGGTTGCACACGCGTTTAGCGCACGGATTGGGTCGCTTGCTGAGATTCGCTCTGCATCCCTTGTGGTTGGGGCACCTCCCCTCGTGCATGCAATGCCGAGGTCCTGAGCGTGGAGACGCAGAACGGCAATTCATGTGTCGGTTAACCCCATGCGAGGGACAGTTGGGGTGATGGTGATGGTGGTGGTTGGGGACCTGAGGGGTGATGCTGGACTTCATGAGTTCCTTGATTTGGCTGACCAAGTCGAGGGCTCTAGGGCAGGCAGGCTTGCTGAGGACACAGTGCTTAGGATCAAGCAGGTTCTCCATGTCCCCTAGGACTTCCAAGGCTCTGTCAAGAGACTTGGTGTGGTTCTCAGGCTGATTTCTTGGTGTCTGCACGCGACTATTGCGCCCACCAGAACCAAGTGAATTAACTGACGTGCGGCCATCTTGACAGTCGTGAACCTCATGGCATCTCGCAATATCCTCACTTGCCTCGGCATCTGGAGTGGCCATTGTCGAGGCGCGTTCAGCACAGGGGTCTTTTTCGTTGGAATGAACGCTTGCTCTGGCTTTCGACAGGGCATCTAGTATGTCCTGCTTCGCGTTATCCAGGTAGGCCGGATCGGTAGATTTCAACTGATCGATTGTTGTCTGCAGCTCGCCCAGTTTGTTCAGGACAAACTGATTGACACTGCCTCGGTGGGCTTCTGATGCGGGTAGACTTAGTTGTTCAGCTTGATTTGCCTCCGTAGGCTGCTTCGACACCCCCGGATCGGTCTCCTTAGATGAACATTGCAAGAGATCCGCTTCTAATTGAATTTCCTCGCAGGCGTTCGGAACAGTCACTTCATTGCATGCACTAGGCACACAATCTACTTTAGCTGACAGTTCAACACTTCCCGTGCACTGCTGCATCGAATTTTCTCTGGAAAGGTTACCTTCTGATCCTTTGTTAGAGGAGGCAACCAATGAGGACCTAACTTCGGCGCTAAGTTGGTGGATACTCGACTTGAACTCCTCAATCTCCTTCTTTAGGGATAATTCTGCGTCCACGGCAGAACTAGATGGCCTAGATATCGGCTCTGGCGAAATGCCGATCGGTGATCGGCCTTTCAGATCCATGCTAAGCTCGCATAACTGCGCTTTCACGTCTTGTATCTCCTCCCATATCTCGGATTCACAGCGAGGGGCTCTGGACTGTGAACAGAGCTCCTGAACAATGATATTCACGCTCTCCTTCAACTCCATCAGAGTAGTTCTAATGATGTCTTGGCCGTCTTTGCAATCTTCCTTTATGGTAGGCTCTGCTTCGCTGTCCCTACTAATAAATGCCACGTGGTGCGTCGGATTACTCGGTGTCAGAGGTACTGTTTGTGAAAAACTTTTTACCGTCTTGCAGATTGAGCTTTTCGAATGCGCCTGTGGATCTTCAGACAGTCTGTGACGTGACTTTCGTTTGTTACACGTCTCAGGAGTGCCGGTGTCCACCTCAGCGATCTGAGGACATGGTCTGTGCACCTTGTTAAAGTCTATATTAATCTCAGCTATGACGTCCTTTTGCTGGGTCACAGACGAAACCGAGATCTCTGTTTCCAAAGTGGATCGATTGCAGGCACTCCTGTGAGTCGATCTACGATGGGTGACGGAACCACGGTTTGAATTAGTTTTTTCAGGGGTAGCCCAGCGCTGGACTTCCAAATACTCGCCCAAAATACTGCTCTCAGTATTCATCGTTGCAGGATTCCACTCCTCATCGTCGAGATTTTGGATCTCCAGGCTCGCCGGAACCCTTTCAGCACATTTTTGAATTGAGTAGCGATTGTTATGTGCGTTGTCGTAATCCTGGTTGTGCGGAGTGTTCTCCGCCTCGGAGTCTCCCTCCATCACTTAACATGAAGCCTTCCACGTGACTGGGAGAGAGCGGCGTTCTAAAAAATCAATAATTCAAAAGAACCACATGCCAAGGGAAGAATCACGGGCAGGCGGAAATGAGAGATCAGTGAAAATTCAAATTAGTGGACGCCTTGGAAGACTAAACTAAAACCACATCAAGTAAACTATTTTTTTTACCCGATTCTATGAAAGACATGGGGTTTCTTTTCAAAACTCACTAATTAGAGGAAATTTCGCCCCACACGATGTTCTGTGGTGTTGGTCGTGTCTGGAACCGAAGACGTAAAGTTGATAGAAGGCTCTGTCGCTGGTTTTTTTGGGGTGTGGACTACGTTAATGCCTGGAGGAAATGACAAAATAATGAAGCGACAACTGTTTGCTCACGATCTGAGCATGACGATGATGATGTGGACGTGATCTGCCTTATTGACTACCGGCTAACGAAGTGGATCGGGTGCTAGTGAGAAGGAAGTCAGCGACGCTAATCTTCTAGGTACACGCTTTTCCTCCTGTGATCAGCCTAGAATTGGTATTTCAATTCCAGCGTTAACGAAAGATGCAGAACCATGGTAGAGGCCTACATTTCGATACACAGAGATTTAATTTTTTCATAAATGTTGTCCCTGGTAGTCTCCAAGGGGATTAGGGACGTTACAGTTCCTGTTTCAATCCGCCCCGTCTCCCTATCAAGAAGTACTCTTCACCGTAGATGCTCCATTTAAATGTGGTACTGGGCTTGTAGCCACCCAGGACATGTAGACATTTTTCGTTGACGCGTAAAATTCGAAAACAAGGCGGCAAGTGTGAAGACTAGGCAGATCCACTACATTTACCGTTTTCTTGTGGCGTGTACGTGAGCGTAGTGATGTGGTAAGTGTGAGCTGAGATGATTGGCTGATTGTCGGGACCAATGAAAAGTGCGGAACAGTCAAAGAGGCATCCTCTTATAAACCTGTTCGGACAATCTTCCGCTGTTGAGGCCACGTGTTTAGTCTGCTATTACCGACACAACTGCATACGTGTCGGCACAACATCCCGGGTTTCCGTGTCGCTTCTCTTATATCAACGTCTCCATTGGATGTGATGAGACGTCCTGAGCACCCAATAGAAAATAAGAATGTTGTTAACGGTTATGAGCAATTTTATAACACAAGCATTGGTTTTCCATACTCTTTTTGCTGTACGATACACCACAAAGTACCAAAGGAAGGGATGAGAGAGGAGGGAGACCCAACTGTCTATGCGATGTCTTAACCAAGTTGTGTTGCTATCGTGTGAGTGGTTGTTGAGCTTGGGTGATCTTGTAAAAGTACAAATGACTGATGGCTAGATGAGTGAAGCGAATAGTCAGGGGGGGGGGGTACACGCACAGGGGTGTGTGTGTGGGTGACGTGCACGCTGTGAAAAGGGGGGGCGGTATGATTGAGGCTACGGCGACAGAGCTGGTGGACGTGAATCAACACGACGCACCGCAACGGTTCAGCTAACACGATGCTGTTCCCTCCTGAACTCCCCCTCCGATTGTCCAATCAACGCGCGATAAATTGAAATAAGATTTTCAGAGCTGTAGGGCCTACAGAACGGGTTCGTGACAGAAAAACAAGGACTGCCAAGAGGTGTTTATCGGTGTTTGAGTAAATTTAATCGATTATAATTGCCCAATCGCCTCATTGATTAAATCATGTTCAGCCAGACTTCTTTAATCTTTGATTGGTTAATTTTTGGGGGAAATGATTTAATTCACATCCATTAACCCGGTCGCCGCAGTCTCCGACACACTACTCCCCCTTTTCACAGCGTGCACGTCACCCACACACACCCCCCTGCGCATGAACCCTCCCCGCTATCCGCTTCACTCATCTAGCCATCAGTCATTTGTACTTTTACAAGGTCACCCACACTGAATAGGTCACCAACTGCCGACGGCATTGAAAACGCAATCTTTCTGGTATCTGCGTGAAGTGATCGAGCCAAGTCCAACGCAGCGGCCTCGGCGCGCTGTTCTTGAACCACACCGAGGCAGTCAACAAATTTACTTGATGCAATACTTGAAGAGCATGTTACCGTCGAAACGCGGCAAATGACTTGACTACGACACGCTAGCCTGCAACATTCCGAAATCATTCCTTGGGACCCAGTCCGGTAGATGACTCCAGAATACGGTGGATGGTGGCTTACTACTGGATCATTTCGTCTTTATGCTTGTAGCTAAAAATTGCACCACAAGTGACGAGGATACTGCCGTGTCAAACTCCGACGGCATCAACGACGTTTGTAGGGTTACCACTAAACCAAGTACTGTGTTGAACTGGATCAAAATCGACGGTGTACGAAAAGCACCACCCAGTGATTTATACACGCCACACAAGTTATTCATTAACTAATTGCTAATTAATGTAGTTTAAATGTAATTTGTTAATATTTCACTGGTTGCGACTTCCCTCCAAATTGCCAACAGTTTTGACCTTTTTCTCAAGCATCTCTCGGTCTGTTACCGACGTGGTCTTCAGGGGGGGTCCCGATATCTTCGTCGTTGGTGAAAGGGGCAGAACGAGGTCTGTGATGCCGCAAACCCGTCCAGTAGAGGTCCAGGTTGGCCGGGTGTTGTCTGACTGCAACATCACTCGCTTCTGCTTCTGTAAATTCAAATTAGAGGCGCAGAAGTGTTGTCCATCGTTTTCTATGACCTTGAGCCATCTCTCAGGTAACGTATGAATACCGTCACGAAAGAAAATTTAAGGCTTCGAGACGACAATGTCATCGACGACGAGTTAACGCACGTTGTCCAGCGTTTTGAAGTGTTCATCCACTAAGGCGTGCTGCTGCTGCTGATGCATTGACCGGAACAAATAGTAGTCGCGTTGGTGAATATGCCGTGCATGGGAGATCTTCCTAGCCCAAGTTCAAGAGGGTCTTCTGAGTCGCAAAGCGAGCAACGCGAGGTGGTCGATCGTTGTCATGCGGCAGCAGCAGCAGCAGCAGCATGACTTATCTGCTTCCTTGCCCTGTAAATGGCCTTTTCTGATCTCTGGCTTCTTTGCTCAGTTTGTTTAATTGTCGTCTGTACCGTTCTACAGTCACCGTCTGATGACCCGCTTCCAGGAGTTCGTGATAAGTTACACCCTTAATGTCCCGCCAGATTCACGGGAGCACCTTCTTCAGATGGATGTCCTCTTTCGGCGTCGATGTACTGGGTTACCCGTAATCCAGCCAGGACACCATTTTATGTTTGGGACTCTCGTCACAATTTTCCACTGGAAGTCCATTCACTGCTTGTTGCCGATTGGCAAGCAGTGAAAGGCATGTGTTCATACGTTGGCCAAGGAGGTCGTGTTCGGTCACCACATGTGATACCCAACTTCCACGTTTTTGAATTTTACCTATTTGGTGGAGCAAAAGCATGGTGCTAGCTGTTTAGGTGATTCCCAACTAAGCTTTAAACTCTTTTTGCGCTTGCATTGAGTCTTCATCCAGTAGAGCTTGCGTTTCCGCATCTTCAAATTTTTGAGGCTGCCGTCCAGGAAGCATCTGGTCACTGAGATCGAAATTACCACATCTAAAACGTCAGTACCAAGAGATAACACGTTTGACAAAACACAACGTCGGCAGCAACAAAAACACTACAAATTAATTCCTTCCCTGCTTTAGAAGCATTTTTCCTTGTTGGAATTCGTGTAAATTGCAGTACCATCGAATAAGCTGTTTATCAGTTGCCATCGTAAGCCCTGCTACTCTGAGACGTCAGGTGTTGTGAAAGCTTGCGTCTGGCCTTTTCAAAACCACAAAAGACCGCGGAAATATTTCGATTTTAAATATAACTTTAAGGTCGAAGAAAAATCGATGAATAATCAAGTCATGCACCTACTATACTGCGGTTCATTGGTGAGTGTTCAGCCACTCAGCTAGATTGAAATGCCCTCCCCACCGCCGCCAAGGACGTCCGATTATTGGTCAAACGTAAATCGCATTTTCAAGCTTATCCGTCATAAAAGCTTTTGTCGCTGTTGTTGCCTAATTAAAAGAACCAAACAGAAACCAGCCTGATATTTTCGAAACCCACTCTAGCGTCAACCAATCACCTTGTTCGCGGCCCTAAGGACTTAATTATCAACTCCAATACTAAACTAAGGAGAGGGCTAGGATAGGTCAGGTAAGTCTACTCCTGCTACCACCGTTCAGACATGACCTCATAACCATGGTTACACAGTCATTTATCGATTAAAACATCTGCTTACATATCCAACAATGAAATTTCGAAACCAAGTCCTTTGCCTCCCCTGGCTTCGCGCTGTCCTGTCAATTAAAACAAGGCCATGAAGGCCATTTTGAGGTATCGATTTTCGCTGCCTTCACGCCTCCACGTGGGCTATGGAAGGGGCGTGGCACGCAGGTATGAGCAGTCAGATGTCGCGTCATGACGAAATAATCGCTGAGATAACACGGCAGATAAAGAAGCCGAAGTCTACTCAGAAGAAATCGCATCACCTCTGGACGTTGAATCGGAAGCCTCCAATTCCTTCGTGCTGTGGCCAGAGTGCCAGCTCGCCTGCTTGCCTCTTCGATGGCAAAGTCAGGGAAAGTAGTAGCGGCTTGACGAGTTCTCGGGAAGACGTCAAAAGTCAACAGTCCGACGGAACCTGGACCACCTCCAGTATGTCCTTGGCGACAAGAGACACGTCTGTGGCTCCGACACCAATCCCCCCGGTAAAACTTACCCAATGCAACACTAACTACGGAAAACTGCAATCTACTGTTGCTTCGGATCCAACGGATATCGATAAGTGTACAGAATTGGAAGCAATGAAACAGGGGCTGGCTCGGATTCAAGCTGGACATGGAAGACCCTCTGACTTTCTGCCAGAGTATCAGAAGCAAAAGGTGGATCCTTATCTTAGGAAGACCCTTGACGAAATACGCCAGAGCATCGTTGAGCTGTCAAATGACGATGCTCTTCATCAGGAGGTACACCAGCTGAGGGAGAGTGTGAGAGAGCTGGCTCTCGATCGACGCCGCCCAAACTCCGTAAGTAAACCCAGTAAAAGAGAATCTCAAGTGGTGGGGATTTTGAAGGACATTCGAGACGACTTCAAATCACTAAGACCGGGAGGATCCGTTCATGTTCCTGTTGGCCAAGACACCGCCATCATGAAGGAGTTGCAGGAAATTCGTAAGACCATCCACATATTGCAGGATGCCGTGGACGATGTTGCAGTTGAACCCCTTGTCGAACCCAAGGGAGAAAATGCAGAGATAATGGATGCTTTGCATGACATTCGCCAAAGTCTTCACCAAATCATCGAGGGTGGGGAGGCGGTGGAACAGGAGAATGTGAACAAAGTGGAAGAAAACCCCGTCATGGAGGCCTTGGATGAAATTCGCCAGAGTATTCACGCGCTGACGGTCGAAATGCAGGAGGAACCAGAAGAGCCCATGGATCAGGTAATGCAAGCTCTGACAGACATTAGACAAAGCGTCCATATCTTGACGGGCGAGGACACGCAGAACGACGACTCCCATGCTTCGGCCACGAACGCAATGGCTCGAGAACTGGGAGAATTGCGAAAAACGGTGGAAAAGATCTCGGAGCAGTTGTCGCCCATCCCAAACGCAGGCCGAGGGGAGAATGTTTCTGAGGTGTCGGAAGAATCGACATACAAGGACTCTTCAGCAACGAAGAAGAAGTCTAAGATGAACAAAAGGAACAAGTCGAAGAGCAGGAAGTCTCGGCTCCCGAAGGACACCGGCGATGATATTTTGGAATTGGGGAGGGAGTGCTGTCAGGACTCCTGTAAACTTGGTTGTACCTGCGACCGGATCATCAAGTACCTCATTGATCAAAACAATCCCTCAAAGGAGTTGGCGTCTGGGACACCATCGATTCACTACATTGTCCCTCCAGTTACCCACCCTCCCACCTTCATCGCACCCACCTACCGACCGCGAACATTATCAATGCCACCTATGAGGTACCCCCAAGCGCCTGGAGGTATGACAGGTCTCCCTTTTCCGCATCCCCAGCCATTACAACTAACCTATTCTGGCCAAAGCGGACCACCACCGCCACCGACCTCTATGCCTCCATATGGTCCGCCGCCTCCACCTCATCCAAGCTATCCACCCTGCCAATTTCCGCCACCGGCAAGCTTCCCTGCCCCCCAGCCTGGATATGCCGTGCCACCGTCGTTTAGCCAACCTCCTGGTTACCCACAACCTCCAGTACCGCCACCACCACCACCACAGCTGTCGAGGTCTGTGAATTACGGCCAACCACCCTTCCAGCCGACGTCGAACGCACCCCCCGCCAACGCCTCCAATCAAATGGACCAACAGGACCACGTCTGCAATAGGACGTCTTCAAGGCAGCAGCAGCCGCAGCCGCAGCCACCTGTGTTCAATGCCACCCTCAATGACCAGCCCATGGCGTTCACATTAAGTTTTGTTGGATCTACCGATGCTCCAGAGGATTTAGGTAGCGCTCCAAAATACGAAAATCGTACATTCCTTTGCACACAAGTGAACCAGTGATTTTTCGCTTTAGTAAAAAAAACAATTAACTATCTCGAACCGCAAAAACACTGCTTTCTCGTTTACTCTAAGCTGGAGGCTTACGAATCAGCACTAACAAGTGCGTAAGATCACCTGGTTATAACATTTATCGACTTTTCGGTGTTACATTGGTGGACGTAGGTTTATTTTACATCATTTTTGTACCTGTGAACAAAGGCAGCGTGGTTTCTAATTCAATTGTCCTTGTTACTCAATTAAGAGGTACGCCATGTTGTAGATGATGGACGAAATGCGTTAATGAGGTCGTCGTGGGGGTACCAGCATTAGATAACACATGGCGATCCGTTGTATGAATCCATGTGATCGTAAATTTCGACTTGAGGAACCCAATTCCAGACGGGACTCGAACCCAGGAAGTCAATCGCACATTTTTGGTTGACACTCACAGAATCCGCACACAATGCGGGTGGTGTAAAGACAACCGGGTGGGCTCACTGAGGTTGTTGTGTTCTCGTGATGTGTACGTGGGCGTAGTGATTTGGTAAGTGTGAGCTGAGATGATTGGCTATTTGTCGGGACCAATAAGAAGTGAGGAAAAGTCAAAGAGGCCTGTTCGGAGATGTTTCAACTGATGAGACCATGCTGAAAGCCCGCTTTTATCGACGCAAATGCTCAGACTTCAATAATTCACCTCCTGTGTCCGTTCGATTCCCCACCCTTTTACAAGCATTCCGATTGGTTGTTATGCGACCTCAAAGTTTACACTCACGTGAGCAGACTTGATTGGCTGCATGCTGGGACCAATGGGAAGCACGCGAGCGCGATAAGGACCAAGCAGTTTGGCGTTTATCTAATTATCTGATTTAAAATTCATGTCAACTCTAAGGCACCACTGAATGAAGCCTAACAAGACAAGTGAATAAATCTTTTATTACTTTCAAATAAGAGCAAAAGGTCAGTTCTAAGGAACTGACACCTCATCTTACACAAACGTGTATTCGTGTACAAATTCGTGGAATTCAGCTAAAAACTATAAAGTGGAAATACTTGCCTGAATTTGAGGCCTTCTTAGTGTATTCGAAAACTATGACAGTAAATTTACGCCCAATGACGCCACGGCTGCGGATTGCGTAAGAAAGCGGCAAAGATGCTTCTTCTTTTTGTTTCCTGATGGTTTCAAATGGCTATTTTCTCATTCGCGAAGCGTTTGTTTTGAAATGTGTCAAAATTTAGTGCAGTTTTGAGTTAGTCTACCTCAACTGCTTGCAAAACGGCGCAAAGATCGCAACAATTTATCGAATAGAACTGAGGCCTCATCAACCAATCAGGCACGAGGAATGCCTGCCGGCGGAAATCGTTCCACCAATCACAGCACTCCAGCGACACAAGCGTCCCCTGGCTTGGGACTCACTGTCGATATTATCAAGAATGGAAAGTAGACTCAAACGCTGAATTTACTCTAGTAAATAAAGGCAGTCCGTTATCTGACTTAAGCAGCACAAGCCCTCGTTTCCCACCATTAGACGAGCCACGAGACCATGACCAATGTAAAACGTCTGTGAGCCGTTTTAGCATCGATCGCCAATGCGAGCAGATGTTCTTAGACTGTCGAAGTGGAAATCGATCACCAGCACGACGAAACGATCGTGGATTGACTACGAGAGGTGCCGCATAGATCAACCGCCACAGTGCTGATACCTTCCCTCTATGTCCTGGCCAGAATCAACCAATCGGAATAAGCCACGCCGTCGCATGCACACGCATTCACGCAGCATGAACCAGACAAATTCTGTCTACTTCGCTTTTCAATTGCTGTCTTAAATGAATGATTTGAGGAATATTCTTACATGATTTCAGGAGTAATTAACACCCCCCCCAACACCTTAATTACATTAAGAAAGTAACCAAGTATAGACAAATTTGGCGGATTCGAAACCACTGTAGGGGGCGAGTTTGCATTATTACAAAACCTAATAGATAACAGCCGGTCACAACCCAAGAAGAGAGAAGACAGAGTCGACAGGGAACACGACCGTCTATTCGCGTCACACCAGTCAAGTCGAGTCGAGTAAAATCGAGTAACTAACTTCTGTGTGCGTATCGATACGCGTGCGTAACAGGCGACTGCTAACAAAAAAATCAATAATAAAGAGGATGAGTCATTGATGAAGTCGGGCAAGCGTACATGCAGCACACACACGCGGTGGCTGTCTGTCCACAACAGTGTATTCACGAAAAAATTGATTGATTTGAGTTCGCCCACGAATGCCAACCGTGCTGGCTTGCTGCTCGCCACACCACTGCCTAGAACAGCCTGCTGTAACGACCCCCTGCGGAGAAAACCCCTCTAGAGTGGATCGCGAATGGCCAGGTCGACAGTCCAAAATGCTTTTGGCTTATCTGGTGATCCAGCTCTGTTAATATGCAGTTACTCGATTCGTGACTGTCTGAACTCCGCTGGGTTGTAACCATCAATAACCAAATAGATTTAGATTCGTTCTTGCTGTTAAAATGCATGCACGTGTGTGTGTGTGTGTGTGTGTCGAACGTGCCAATTTTGGACCAAACGGCTTAACTGCACTTTTTAGGCTGGTTGGCCCCCGGTCGCTTCCAAGCTGCAGTGCCTCAAACGTGGTACAATTTTTGTCCGGCAAATTCATGTCTAGCATTAAATCTTGGCCTTGTTAGAAATAGTTTCTGTAAAATGACGATGCTAAGTCTCATTTCTGGCCTTCCGTCAGGTGTTAGTAGCGAAACACATCGCACAATATCTACGTACAAGTGCTTAGAGATGCAATTTTTATCCAAAACCCTACACCGAATATAAATCTCAACCAATACTGCTGTCCGACAGTAATCGGCATTCGGAAGAGCCAACTGATAAACTTCATTTTCAAGCTTCAACCGAATGCAGATTGTGAAACGGATTTTCCGAAAACGCCAGCGCGTCATTCTCGGTCGGAACCAATCAAATCACACCAGCCAGCGTTCGTAGCACAAAACGTTTAGCATTGGAACCTTACAAGTGTAGAATACCCGAGCCCTACTAGAAATAAGACTGGTACAACAGAACAGGCTTTATTGACTAATCACAAGCCAGAGCCACACGTTAGGCGCCTTCCATCCGAGTCCGCCACGCTGGCCACGCCGCTCATTATATACTGCTCCTCAGTCATGTCCTTCTCTGGTTGGCTGCTTATCTTCCTCGCATGCCACTGGAACGCAGAGAGACACAGGATTGGCTGCGGCCAGGTGGTCCAACATGTCTGAGCCCTGATCCGTCGCCACACCACACAAGGGAAGAAAATCTAACTGGCGACATGTTTTATCCCTGACCAACCAAAAAATCGATTAGTCGATAAAAGCTGACGTTGGTGGTCACTTGAGGGTGGCTAATGTACGGGACGTGAAGGTGAAGGTGATAGGCTGGTATATGTCCGGATGGTTATCCGGCTAAACAGCATCGTTAGGACGTTGATGTGGTTGCAAATGACCTAACTGGTGAGAGTCGAGGTTATTGATTTGTACTTGTGGTCCGTCGAAGGTGGTGGTAGTTTCAGAGATCGCATTGCTCTAAACATGGCCTAACTTTAAGCTGTGCACTAGAATCCCCCACGCGTCTAATCACGCCCGCATGCTGAGGTCACATCATCGATCGACGGGGTTGCGGTCACGTGCAGACAGCATAAAAACGCGTGCAAGTAAGCTCAGATGCCATTTTTTTCCTTAGACATTCATTGTATTCACAATTCAACTGTTAAATATTATTACTAGGTTTCATATGTTTTAATAATGTAATTAGATCTAGCGAATACAGGTCCTGATGAGTCCGCAGTCCTCATTAACAGGCTTATTTATTTGCGGAATGCTTGAAGCCATGCTAGTTTGGTGAGACTTGGTCCAATTTGATGAGGCATGACACGACACGATTTGCCAAGGCTAATCTGAGTCGTGTGACCTAGAAAGAGCACAACTAACTGAACATACAGGTGGTTAGTGTGGGTAACAGGATAGGTTTGGGCACAGGGGTGAGGTGGGAGCCTGTAGAGGGGCGGCGGTGTTTCTGAGGTTGTGACGACCGACTGAATGGACGTAAACCAATGTGTACCGGGTTGCCACGGTGATGGCGACTACAATTCTTGCTTTTGATTGGCTGAGCAAATAAGCACGCATCGATTACCATCCTCTGACGATTGTCGAAGTTACCTCGGCTTTCAGGTGAAAATTCAGACATCCCCTGAACACGTCAATATTAGCGGGCACTGTATGCAAGAAAGACATGGTGAGAAGATGCGTGTGGACGCTTCAAGACGAGCTACGGCATTTGTGGAAGATGAGTTGATGCTTTTGACCTTGGTGTCGTACCAAAAAGTCTGAAACAGTTTCACGATTACCTTATTAGTGTTATATTTACTCACTGTGGAGCTTACACTTTCGATTTGATATCAGTAAAGTTGTTGTAGAGGGAAGGAAACACCACAAGAATTCACAAAATAATAATCCATCATTTGGGCTTCTTAATCGCTTCACAAATCATAGATGCCATTTTCATCTAGTTTAATCCACAGCGAGAAATGACAGTCGCCACTCACAATAACGGATAAGCCGTAATATGCTGCTAAATGCGAACAACAATGCCACCACAACATCTAGCAGAGTTCTCCCCCAGCCTCAACGACGCTCGCAAATTCTCGTTCCCCTCGGCCCGTCGGACGAGCCTCCAGTGTTCAACTTGGCTCTCAACCAAACAGAAGCCAATAGGAGCTTTCTTCTGGGCATTGAGGAGTGGCTCGAGCAGAGACCCAACAATAACCAACTCATGAACCGCCTAGTTACATGCTGCAAGTCCAACTTGGCTATGGTCACCCCCAATCCAGAGACACTATCTCTTGCTCCAATGCAGGACCAAGCAGCGTGGTTTGAAGATATCTTTGCCATGATCTTTCCCCTTGAGGACTGTGAATCGTCGACTCTTGCGCTTGCCTGCATTCGACGACGGATGGGGAGCAACAAGCGTTATGCCAGAGCGGTTACACTTCTTGCTCACATTGAAGAGATGGTACATGCCATGCTGGCTTCGCACGAAGTCACAAGAGACGCCCTCTCACAGTCCTGCAAAGCGTACGTCATAGTTGCGTGTCTGGCCGCTGTTCTGTCACCTCCAAGGCAGCGAGTGATGGACGGTGTTCGACAGAGCTTGCCTCCATCGACTCAGCCCCTGTTGCCATCATTTCAACACCAGTCGCAGGGGTTCGGAGCTTCTGTGATTGTGAAAAAAGGGAACACGGTAACCACATTGGACCCCCTGGAACTCTACCAGGAGACGTCGTCTCGTTGGGACGCGGCGAAAGTGGAATTTGAGCACACCGCCGTCTTTTACGGGGAGAAAGCTAGACCCTTTTCTATTCACCGCCATGCCTCTGGCGTCGAGCCACAGCTACAACCGACCAGACCTGTGTCCATCAAACGAGAACACTCCATCTCACGAGTCATCTTCGAAGATGATGATCCCTCAGACAGAGGTGCTTCAGAAAAGCCATTGCCTGATAAGCAGGAGAGTGACTTGAGAACCAGGACCCAAGTAGAAGCGAAAGCTAGACAACCAGACCCTCCCTCAAGGCCGAGCACTCAGGATGACAAACCGAAAAAGCAAAACCTCCTTGTCAGGGTGCCAACGGAAGAGACTATTGACTACCCGGAGGAGGTGGACACACAACCACCTAATGAGTTTGGTTTTCAGAAGCCCGACAACCACCGATCCGCCATGTTGTCGATTTCGCTTAAACCACCTGATGGAGAGGAGCGCGGGGAGACAATAAAGGCGAGGCGCAGCGTCGTCGCGGCTTTTCGCCTACGAGATGGCGTTCCTGTTCAGGTGAGCATCACCGGTGGAACCGACAGTCGCCGACGCTGGGCTATGGAGGAGTTAAGGAAGAGTCTTGAGGACGAGGAGGCGAGCGCTTTTATGACCGGAAAGCTAGCGCAAAAAACTCTAACTGGACTAGACGCTGAAGCCGTCTACATGGACATTACTGGTTTCAAATCGGACAACCAAAATGATAAGGACAATTCGTCTAGCACGTCTGTGAACCGCTCCTACCTCCTGTCGATGTCCCTCAGCGGATGTGACGAGGAGACAGATGATTGCGACCCGGGATCTTCCGGAGCTAACCTTTCCAAATCCGAAATGGTTGGAGCCTTCAAACTTAAAGACGGCTCCCCCGTCAAATTTAGACTTACCGGTGGGAGTGTGATGAAGCGACAACTAGCTTTCCACGAGATGCAACGACACCTGCTGAATGACGAGGCTGGCACGTTTGTAAACAGCAAAAAAGTCAAAGAATTCTTCGACAACGTGGAAACCACACTGGTATCAACTGGGCCACCCGATGACGTGGATTCTCGGGGTACCACAGGAGACCAGGAGGGTAGATCGGAGACGATTTGGAGTGGTCAGACGCAGCTTCAAGTTGAGGAGGAGGAGGAGCGCTTGGTTGCCGCTGACGAAGGTACCGTGGGGTCATTCAAGATTAGTCAAGGCGCACCACCGCAACTAACACGGCTGGTAAAGCGCCGGAACAAGCGGTGGAGAATGATGTGGGAGATGCAGAACCGCTACATCAGAGAGGAGGCAATAACTTTTCTCCAGGGGAGGTAAGCGCGTGGCTTTTTAACAAGCAGTAGCTAAACTCAACTCGAATTTGGCGAGCATCACCAGAAAGGCCTTTGTGTGCCCATTTCATCTGGCAAAACGATGTAGATTACGGAGGATAGTGGTTGTCAAAGCGTGATTAAGCGGTAAACGGCCGTGTCCCCTGTCGTCTGTCTTGCCATTGTTCGTGAGTTTTTGTGGCCTGTTAACTAGGGGGTTGTAAGGTAGTGCTAAGCTACCACAAGATGCTTGTGATCCGATTAGTGATGAATGCCTTCATTAGGTGGGTCAGGAAGTTGTTAAACTTTGAGCAAAAATACTCAGGAATCACCACCAAAAAATTATGGAAATTCTTTTAGTAATGTGCTGTTCCTTTTTGTACAAACCACATAGTGAACATAAGGATACTTTCAAACATAGGGTCACAAGATTGGATTGTTAATTGGTCGACCAGATGATTTTCGAGTTCCGTGCACTTTTCCATAGAAACTACACTTCAGCCAACTCCACCACAGATGAGGACGACGACAAGAGTTGTACCCTTGAGCAAGGACAGTCAGAAAGACGTAATACCGAATCGATACGGTTCAAGATCAAAAATGGCATTACACCGCAGCTGACGGAGATCCACCAGAAGGAGAGCCGAAAGATCTCCGGGAAGGACTTGTGGGACATGCAGAGACGCCTGCTCCACGAAGAGGCGTCCACATTTCTTGAACAAAAGCACCACAACAAAGGGGACCTTGAAGAGGCCTCGGCGACGGACACAGTCACGCAATCTGGACCCAGTGCCTGTCTGACCGCCAGGATTCCGTCGACGTCAGAGGAATCTGGACCCTCACGATTGATAGTCACAGCTGAAGCACAGGACGACGGTACTCTCGTTGCCCAAATTCTCACTGAAGTCTCATTTAAGCGACCATTTAGCGACACCTCGGAGAGTATTCAGGTGGTGTTAAACTTAATCGCTCCAAAAGAACTTTCCCCCGATATGATTTAGTGAGCTTTTTTGTTGAGATGCGGTTTTTGCATTTTGTCTGGTTTCTTTCCTCGCCTAGTAAATTTGTGCTCATTTCGCGCCTGGTGTGTCGTGATTGGACGGTGGCTTTACCTGCGGACACGGCTTCGGCAAATTTAGTCGTCTAGAAGACGATCCCATCAACAATTGTGGTTTCTAGAAGTGCGAATCGGAAACGTTGTGCATGACGCCGGATCGTAAGGTCGTTGAGAGTCGAGGAGTCCAAGGCAGAGTAAAAAGTCAAGGCCGATGAAAGTTGAGAGATGCGGTCATGTTGAGAAAAGAGGGACTCCAGTGATGAGACGAGAGGAAAGATTATTGCAAAACGCTTGGTAGTTGTCAACGGGAAGTGATGGGAATCGAAAACCACCACCACCACCACCATCATCATCATCATCATCCAGACGTCAGCGGTGTCTGGAGAAGGTGATTTTGGTTAGAAATGAATCCTCGTTGAACGAAGTAACGTAATCCTACTACTAGGTCGATGTTTCGGACACCAATTATTACGGGATCACCAATTGTTGTGGGCCCCAGCATGTGGTCTTGAACCACGCGGAAGCCACTGAATTAATCCTGGCCTCATTACGCTTCCCTGCTATCCGCGATGAGGAACAAGACAGGAGAGGGCGACGTGGACACAACCGTTTACTTCCGAGCTCAACCAAGCTAGTGTCGTCATGTCATGTGTGGCGTTTGCTCGTGTGTATTTATGCCTCAGATGTGTGAGTCATAGATGAGCTAACATCGAGACCTAGGTGTAAGGATAATCTAGGATAATCGTTCGCGCTAATGAGTGGGGAGTTGAGGACCCGCGCGAATGGCGACATGCAGCTCAAAGGGGGACCTTTTGTCGGATGCTGGAGTGATCGGATTAGCGAGTGTGATTCAACACGATTCACAATGTTTGCTTGAACAAGTTTCTACTTACTAAGCCGGGCTAGATCAAGTTTCTGGTGGCTTGAAGTCTTAAGTTAAACCCCAGCAGATTAGATCCATTTATTGATCAATAATACGACTTCTACGATAACGAATTTCCTTCAAAAAACTGAGGAAAAAGTGGTGAGTGCGTATCAAGTGAAAGTGCAAACACGTCTGACTCGGCCTCTCATATAAAACTATGTTATTTTTTAAAGCAATTTAGCTGTAAAGTTGTTTTAGTAGAGGCGCTACCACGGTAGCGCGAAATAGCGCAATTTCTTGACGCGCGAAGCAATCAATGGTCACACTGCCAATTGGTAGATCCGGCAGCCAATCAGCTCTCAATGACCTTGAAGCAAGCAAGCTGCGGGCATATTCGCCTAGCGAGGGATATTTTGGTTACAGAAGACAGAATTGGACAGTTTAGCCTTAAAATACCAAAAATTACGACCGATTTTCAGCTTAATAAGTTTGCGGAGCTAATGATGAAATAGACGGGACATTTAAACACTTTTGTACCATAAGCAGGCACCCAATGCAACACTTATGAAAATTTCATTTTGGGCTAATTTTACGAAGCCTTCCGATGCAACCTCTGAACAGTCAAACACCACAGAAACCCAACGATTATCATTAATGTGACATTTTGAAACTAAATACCCTATTTGCTGAAGATCAGGCATAGCGGAGGATCGATGGTTTGAACTAGAGTGCTATGCAATCACTAAACTGTTCTTGAACGTGGGCCGGGAATTCGAGTTGTTATTGGTAACCTAGACAGTTTTTTGAATCACTGAAAAGCAAACCTTTATTGGTGCTGGCACTACGAGCCTTCTGCTAATGCATGAAACGACCGTGACGGCGTTTTTCATCCACGCTTTACAGGTCGGTATCGCAACTTATTCTGAAGTCTCTCACCGGGTACTCTACGCCTGGTGACCTCTTTGAGGTTTCTAAATTCAATTGATTCTCTGGAAGTAGGAGTGACGATTCTAACGTCCGGAACGATCACCACGATAAGACGGTGACACAACACCTACAGGACTACACATTCAGGTCCTCTAAAACTTGGTTGATTGTCCAATGTTGGTAGACGCATTTAAGTTGTTCGATTTGACAGTTCAGGTAATGGTCATGTTTAAAACACCAGATATGCTGCCTCGTTGAGAGCTCTTAAAGTTAATTTTTATGGTGAGTGGCTTTACACAACCAAGATTGCGATAAAGTTAGTGTTCGTGTGAGAACTACGTCAAATTTTGAGCGTTCTAGGATGTTAACAACAACCCAAAGTCAAGCGCTAGCGTCTTTTCCGCATGACTGCTAATTACCGACATGATATACAGAATGTAGAGAAATACAAGAGGTCGTCAGAGTGTTCATTGAACGGTTTTGAATATCCGTAATGCTTTTGGAGGATATTTCCTTCGTGTCGAAACTTCCTGTTTTCAAAACATACTCCCATTTCCCCCACCTGAAACGTGCAATTTCAGTTTCCCGGATTCAATTTGCTAAACCAAGCGTGAAACAACACGGGAACAGTTCCAAATCTGGAAAAACGGTGGATCCTGGTAGATAGCATCCCACTTCGACTCTTTAATTTGTTTCAGTGTCTGTTGAACAACGCGTGGTCTAGCGTTGTCAGGTTGCAATGGAACGCCTTTTCTGTTGGCCAAATTTTCACTCTTTATTTGGATTTCAGCATTTAGTTGGGTGAGCTATTCACGGTAATTCCGTGATGTCATTGTTTGGTCACGCGGAAGAAGCTTGCACGAACTGATTACTTTCAGCGGATCCCGCTCTTTCGTTTCAATACTACCAGCTTCATTTTGCCGTTTCCAAGATAAATCTGTTTAATTGGCAGACGAGGCGAGAATGAGGGAAATGTCTGTGGAACCACGCTTCGGTTTGTTCCGTTCTGTTGAATCACAGTTGAGTCGCTTAACGATGCCACTTCACACTGATATCTTGAAAGTTCCATTCATAATCTGGACGAGGGTAGCTGGGTTCATTTCAGCGACTTCGTACAACGCAATTGACCTCCTAGCCGGAGAAGCATGAATTTCGCCTCGTGCAAAAACCGGAAGCGAGCAGAGACTGTGACACGTGTGGGGAAGTAGTTGGCCTGGCTTATGTCAAGTTTTACCCGATATCTTGGCGGGCTTGCCCAGTGGGCTTTACTGTATGAACCAAAGGTTCGAGCACAAGGTGGGGTCAAAAGCGTAAGTCGAGTTGATGATCAGATGCGTCTGGACGATCTTAGATCAATGAGTTGAGTAATTAACACTGAGTGATGTGTTGCCGGTGTGAACAACGATGTGGCATGACAGCAGACACCTAGGTCTCGACGTCACCAATAACACAGTTAAGTTACTTGTCTTCGATAATGCTGACGTCCCCATCAGTTCGGATCTGTTGTGACTCGTGTGTATTCATACGCCTCGGTCCGGTCGCTCCATCCTCCGACACAGGGTTCCTCTTTTCGCAGCATGTCGCCAGCCACGCGGATCCTCAATTCCCCCCTCATTCACATGAATTTTTTTCTCGATGTTACCTCACCTGTGACTTGCACACCTGAGGTATAAATGTACACGCGCAATACCCACACACGACACAACGACACCAACCTGGTTGACCTCCGAAGTAAACAGTTGTGTCCACGTCGTTCTCGCCGGTCTTTTTTTTCATCGCGGGTATCACGGAAGCGTAATCAGGCCAGGGTTAATTTCGTGGCCCCGGCGTGGTTCAAGACCACATGCTGGGGACCACAACAGCCCTTAGTACCTAAATTAGATCGAGGCTCAAGGACCCCTTGCTACTCTAGGCATCGTTTCAAACCACTGTGCTACCACGTTATGTGGAAAGTTTTGCCCCAATCCTTAGTTTTCCAGACCCACAGCCCCAAAAGGTGTTAAAAGTCGGACAGAATTGTCTGGTCTTTAGAATTTCATTAGGAAGGCAGAAGCCGGCAAATAACGGATGCCCAAGTCTTTAGACACCTGTAATTAAAATTCTTACCATTCTGCCATTTAAAAATAAGGTAAGTAGAGGTGATTGCATGCGACTGTTCCATTTGTCTCTCCCAACCAACTTCTCCCTAGCTTTCCTGATGTGCCATTTGCGATTGTAGACTTAGGCCACCTAGGTCAACTTTGCTGACTCACCAAAAATCTGTTTAATTAAAACAAATTTGGTCGATCCAATTATGTTATGTTCACTAGTTGCGAAATACATATGCCCAGGGTGAACGAAATGGCAAACTTCCAGTACGAAGACAGAGGTAAGACGTAGTGGAGAGAACATTTACCATCGGCCGTAAGGTCAAGTTTTCGCGTGCAGCGTTTTGGGTGACCTTGATGGATGACGCGGTCGATGTGAATGAAGAAATGGACGCAGAACAGGGGCAAATACAGATGCCCTTGGGAATCGCGTCTCTCTCTTTCTCTCTCTCCGTGTTTTGACGGGAATTTGGCTACACTTTCAACCAGTTTTACGTCTAACTACGTCAGTCAGTGACGAACATGGAAACCGGCAACAGCAAAAAAAAAGGAATCGACAGATAACGGCCTCAGAACATCAACAACTTGTCGAATTGCACACTTTTGAAGCCTCCAATCAAAAAGGTTGACGTTTCAGCAAGGAATTGGTCTATTTTCATTGGCTGAAATCACGATTGGATGAGAGGAGAATGGCAAATCGATTTGAACGCAAATTACACGGGCCCTTCCATGGTTTCAGTGCACGTGACCATGCGACAGCTGAACCTCACTAACCAGTGAATCCAGCATGGCTTCGAGGCACAAATGAATGTCCCTACCTTGCTTAAAGACTATTGGTTAATTAGCAAAAGGCTAATTGTTCTTAATGGCGACTCATAAACTACTATTTTAATAGCATACCTATCAATCGTAGGCTTGTTTGGTCGAAGCAAATTACATGCATAGGGTTTCCTAATTACCCAACTGAATAAATAGACATTTCAGAGAGTACACAGTTTGATTCTGGTTACTCAAATATTTCTTAATCATGCAGTGCCAGGAATGGAAGAATATATATATATCCAGACCTCCAAATATAAAAGAATTCAGGAATAATTAGACAATTAACCATTGTTAAAAATGCTTTTGGTTTCTCCAACCAGCATTTCACATAGTAATTTGAATTTTATGCATGGTAGCCCCAAAACACTCAATTTACAGCCAATAAATTAGACTCGGATTGGGTCATTCAGGAGCAAACTTTCGGAGGTTTGGTCACGCCTTCAGACAAGGTCCTGAATAAACCACAACTGAGATACTTAATTCGTCGGGAGGTACCAAGTTTGTCCACTTGTTTGCGTGACGGAGTGTGTTCGCACGCGCGCGCGTGTGGGTGTGTGAATGTATGTATGCACGCGCAGCGATCAATGTCCGTGCGTAAACGGCTCGTGCACAACATCCCTGGATTGACCAATGGGAGCCCGATTTTCCTATCGATCGCTCATCCGCACGCGCACACTGCACTTCCCGCGGGCGAAAGCAGTTGCCCACGGAAACTGCAGTCGCGCTTTCGTTGTGTGCTTGCGCGTTCAGTTGACCCTACTGAAGTCCCAGTCTCTACACCTCTCTTCTGCATACATTTCGCAAATCCACTCTCGCAATGGAGGCTATCAAGAAGAAGATGCTGGCAATGAAGCTTGACAAGGAGAATGCCATTGATCTGTGAGTTTTCTCATTCCGATTCCTCGTATCTGTTAGTGTTTTAATGGTCTAAGTACGCATCTAAATGTCAAAAGCACTTTTGACGAAATGCTATCGGCGCATGTGTGGAAGAGCTTCAAGTATAAATCGGAAAAATGTATGCTTACTTTTTGTGACGCAACGACTAAAAATTGATTTAAATGCAAAATCCCATGATGAGTACAGTAACCCCTTCAGACTGCGGTTCCCAGCTATCACCATAATTAAAGAATGTAAATGAGTTGAAATTGCTGACAAACGTTGGAGAACGATGAGCCTACATTGTCATTGGCCCTAGACCGCAAAATCATTCTCCAGATTGTTTTAAAATTTACAGCAATAATTCGACAATAACGTGGTGCGTAATTATTATTTCTAATTTAAAATATCAGTAAGTACGATGTTATGAAACGCACAGCACTTTTAATGCTACGGTCAGTTTAGGTTTTCGACAGAGTCCATTTTTTGCTCTATTAACAAGATTTAATTTGTTCACAAATGCAGCTTGTGTGCTGGAAATTTGGAGCATTATTCGAGGTGAAACGTTGGATCAGAAAAGGCGCTCCAATTTTAATTTTAAGTCAGTTAAAACAAGGCAAATTCGATGACAACTGGCTGCTCCAGAAAGTTTAATTTCTTTCCTTCATTGCTACTCAAGGAACAAGTTATAAAATCAGTAGGGTTTAAATTCGAATACAACATTGATAACCAATCAGTAATCCGTGTTTTTGGCTACTAGGACTTGGATTGGTCAGTACGTATAAGGAACAACAAATCAAAAATAATATGGTAAACCTACGTAAAACGCGACAAGTACTATACCAAATTACTCTGGCAATTATTTCTAAAAGTATGGCTTCGAAAATACTGCGCTAGATGGCGAAAATGCGCAAAATTCATCATAAACTTTGACCAAATTTACCAACGTAAAAGAGAGCTTCCTATCTGAGAATTCTCGTTAAAAGTACTGTCGTTTGACAGGTCAGATCAGTGGTTATTTTCTAGGTAGTTTAACTCCGAGGAGGCTTGAAATCTGCTGCGTTTTTAGTTTTTTTCAAGGAATGGTACTTGGTGGGACCTACTACCATTAATATATTATAAAATTTTAGCGCCGATCAACTGGAGGAACAGCTTAAGGAGAAGGAGACGGAAATGTCAAAGAAGGAGGAGGAAATGGGTGATGTGGTGAAGCGCTACCAGAGTCTGGAAGCAGAAAAAGAAGCCGCTGAGACCCAGTTAGCAGAAACAAACCAAAAGCTTGAGGACACAGAAAAGCGAGCACAGGAGGTAAGCATCAAACAAGCGTCATTAAATACACATTTTTATTCACACTGCTCCGCAGCAATAAATAAATATCCGTAAATTAATGCCACGGGGGTAAGTAGCTTCGCAAAGCTGGCGACTGACACGCTATTCCACCTGTTTGCCTCTTCCGTAAATGCTGAAGCGGAGGCGGTGGTCTACGGTTTCTGCCTCCGGTCGATGGAAGCGTGGTGAATACAGACGAAATAATCAAATCCTTCCCCCTCATTATCAACCCAACAAAAAGAGCCAGATTGTTGCTGAAAGTCCAGCCATGCGAATGACCTCTTCCTACATCGATTTTTCAACTTCACACTCATTCTACCCACGAGACAAAACCGCATCGTTGCCACGTCAGGTTCAGAGAAAGCGACGATCCAGGCAGCGCCGTGGATCCAGAAGACCTGTCTGCGAGTGTGGATGCACATGTCAACAATTCCCCCAACCAATGTTCAACAGCATGTACGAATTCAGCCATCTTGGAGCTAGACCGGACCCCGAGGGTTGTGCCAGCACAGCCGCTTTTCCCGAAGAGGTCGTCCTGCCAGTTAGAAAAAGCTATGTCCCGTTTTCTATGGATGAGCCTTTATTTTCAGATTACGGTGGTAAAAGCGACGATGAAGATGAGTATGTTAGGGCGAGAAAAAAGCAGTCAATCAGAGATTACAAGTCTGCATTTGCAGAAGCGTATTCTGCCTCAAGGTTGAACTCAGGAACTTTAATTCAATTGGCGATTGTTGAAGCAGAGTTGAAAAACCTTGTACATTCGTCACTAGATAAGGTAATACAAAATTTTCAATTACTGGCATGCAAAAAAGTCGTAATACTGATCGCAAAACCCGAGTCACACTTTCATATCTTCTGTCAAATGCTCTTCGAAATAATTAATTAGCAAAATGAAATCCTATAAACCAAGATATATTTGCGAAAATCTTTTTTGTAGAAAATTCACAGTATTCATTTTGATGCAACAAATTAATTTCTGGAGGTAACTTACTATCATAAATGGAGCTAAGTATCTCCATTACAATTTTTACAACACATCGATATCTGATGCATATAATTCCACATATTTATCATGTGCAACAAATTAAACGGAGAAGCCGTCTCACCAGCATGAAGATAAACATTTCAGCGTCTCGCTTTAGTCACACTCCAGCCACGTATGTAAGCCCAAGTAGGGCGATTGCTGAAAAGTTTTACTTTATCAGATGACGGCCTAAATTGCCTAAACTAGCAAGTAAGTAACGCATATGAATGCTTTCAATCAAGCATTACACAAAGTCAGTAATTCCTTACAAATTCAAACGTATATTCTGTCAGAAATAAAAATCAGTGGTCGACATTCACATCGTCAAAAACTTTCCAGTTTTCTTAAAAAAAATTTACTTCTTCAGCGCATGCGTCAAAATATGTTTATGGCAATAAGATGTGGTAATGAAGGCCACTAACGTAACTTTATACATTCACTTCACAATATTTTCGCATCGATCCGGAATTTGAGTTTTTAATGTAGTATGAAACTTAGAGCAGCAGTTGTTGTCATAAGCAAAAATCACAAGAACTTTTGACTATAAAAAAAACAACCTTAAAACACTTTATCATCCAAGAATTCCAGCCTGTGATTATTTAAAGCATCATTTATTTATACGAGTGGCGCGTGAATTGACTTTGGCCTGTCGGTAGGCTTATCTGGTTACTTTTGCGATGGCTGCGTCAACCGCGGAGTCCCTTATTGAAACTCTCAAAAAGAAACTCATTTCATTTAAAATTGCTGTTAACACCCTTAATATTGAACTAGAGCGCAAGAAAACTCTACTTAAGACGGAGGAGGAAAAGCGTGAGAAGGTATTATTTGTCACCCTCTCACATATTTTGTTACAGTATTAATGACCGTCATTTTTCCACTTTCAGGCCGAAGCGGAAGTAGCTGCTCTTCAGCGTCGCATACGTCTCCTCGAAGACGACCTCGAAAGCACAGACACTCGCTTAACTGACGCTACTGCCAAGCTCGAGGAAGCCAGCAAGGCTGCTGATGAGAGCGAACGGTTAGTTTCTGGCGATCGCATGTTTCCCGTTTGCTTTTTGTGCCCCCTTGCATGCTTGCTACCTTTTCAAACATTACAGCTTTCGCCGGGCGTTACAGTCCCGTCAGGTAACTGACGACAGTCGCATAGAACAACTCCAGCAAAGGATTCAGAAAACTGCTAAAGAAGCGGCTGAAGCCGAACGCAAATATAACGAGGTACCTTACCGATAAGTATCTGATATTTTCCGTTTTCTTATTTGCAGTGGCTGCAAAGTTCTCGAAAACCGTACCGTTGCCGATGAGGAGCGTATCGCTTCTCTTGAAGAGCAACTGAAGGAGTTCACGTTTATGGCCGAAGATGCCGATAGGAAATACGATGAGGTGCCTAGCATGAAAGTTCGTAGCATGTAACTATGCCAGATGTAGCTTTAAAGAATTTGCGTGCCCCATTGGTCTTTTGCATGACTGTCACGCAGAATGATAGTAATATAATCTACCACCTCTTCGATCACATTTAGTCGTCCCGAAAACTCGCCATGTCGGAAGTTGATCTCGAGCGCGCAGAGTCCCGTCTAGAGGCTGCTGAAAGGTTATTAGATGAATGAATCCTGCTTTTGCTTGAATTTGCATGTGCATGCCTCCTTCCCCTATCTAGGCAACTCAGAAGCTCGCAACCGCCGAAGAGTCACTTGCCAATGCAGAAAAGCGAGTAGAAGATGCTGAAGAGTAAGTGGAGATCGCATTAGTCACTGCTTGTGTACCTGATCCAATTTTCGGGTAAAAACGAAATGACTTTTGCAGGCGCATTCGGTCTATGGAACACGAGTTACGGGCGATTACAACCAACCTGAAGACCATGGAACTTAGTGAATCCACGGTAATTTTCATGGCATTTTTCGGATCTTTTCATAACCTATGCTGAAGCCTCAATTAGCACCCAGTTAACAGAGATTCTTGCGGCTGAATAATCGTTATTTCATTTCAGCTCCTTCGGTCCCCAGTAGCATGTGTTTTGATACTGAGCATTCCGCATGTCATCGCTACTTGTCTACCATATTTTTAGAAATCTAAACGGCATACTTTCTGAGTTGATCTCAATTGTATGCGTCGACTGAAACTAATGCCATAATCATAGGTGTTCTGCAAACGGCATGTTGAAATTGTTAAGACCAGTCCGCACACACGAAGATTATCTTTTCGGAGATTCTCGGCATGATTGCATGCACGTGCTCATTAAGAAAGCAAGTTATGCTTCCTCGTGACCCTGGTTGTATCATGTGTAGAAAAATCCTCGATCTTGAAGACGAACTTCGTATCGTTGGCAACAACATGAAATCTCTTGAAATTTCCGAGCAGGAGGTAAAGATAAAATCCGCGTTGGTTTCAACCTTGTTTACTTTGCTGGATTTGTCTACCTCCAGTTTGGTTGTAATGTAGGCTGCTCAACGAGAGGAGGCCTACGAGGAGAACATCCGTGACCTTACCGAGCGCCTCAAGGCTGTAAGATTTTGCTGTGTAGTCCTTACTAACGCATGCTTTTTACTCTCTTCTCGCATGCTCCCCTCACCAATCAATAATGCTGGATGCGGATTGGCGGTTACCTGATACGTGTGCCTTGCTTGATCCCGTCGCATTCTCATTGGACGTCTGCGTGTGTGTGTGTGTGCTTGCCCATCGACCTGGCTATCAGGCCTCAAAGCAAAAGCAGACCTATCAGACAACGCTGGAAAAATTGACAAAGCAGTTGGAAGAGGTAGGTGCCCTAAGATGTGTCCCTCACATTACCTACCACTGCACACGATACATTGCGTAACATTGTAAGCTACTGCGGCCTAGACTTTGTGTGTGTTTATGCTTTTTCGGTGATTAAAGTAAACTACCCGGATCCTCCTTTGTGGAATTAAGTGTGAATGATTTGAGGTGATCTGGAGGCCGTCTATCAAATCACTTCACTCCGGCCACTGATGCATAAGCCGGCCTACAAATACACTTTGCTGGTGCCACGGACACGATGCTTTGTGGCCAGGAGCACGTGGTGCATGCTCTGGTTGGTTTTATCCGCGCGTGTGCACGTGTGCGTGAACCTAGCCTGTACTGCTATGCACCCCCCGGGCATAGAAAGTAAATCGATGAATAATGCCATAATCGATTGCCGTAGGCTGAAGACCGCGCACAAGATGCCGAACGGCTCGTCCACACTCTTCAGGGTGATGCTGATCGTCTCGAGGGTAAGGTTATCTCATCCGCATTGCCGATCGCGATCTACCACCGTGCATGTTGGGGTTTTCTCGCGTCGATATTCCTTGTGTTGGGCTGTTTTCCGGCAGTTGTGCATTTACCTACTGTTAATTTCACCGCCCTGGGAACACATTTTAGCCACGGATGGACTGTATGCATGCTGCACGTGTTGTTTTTTGTTCTTTTTTGTTTCATTCCTCCTCGTTCCCACGGCAACAAAGGCTGAGAAGCGGACGCAACAAGCGGAATCGGAGATGACGAGGCGGCAGGAAGAGCTCTCGCGACTTGAGAGTGAGTTTCCCCTTGCCCCCTTTCTTGCATCTACTCCCTAGTATTATTAATCTAACCTCCCCACTCCCTTACCCATTGTTTCCTTGCTATTCGCACGGATTTTTCGTTCTACACATCCACAGTTTTTTACTAACTAGAATGAACCCTACTGGTCATAGGGCCACAGTTTACTAATTCCATCGCGCTGCTCCCACAAACGTACCTTTTTACTGTAGCGCCTGAAACCACCCTAGTTCTTAAATACACACGTAAACAGTCTGATTTAGTTAGAAAGTACGCGAAGCCGTATCACCTGTTGACCTGTTTCGGCATTGGTTTTTTGCAGCCGAACTGGACGCAGAGAAGACGATGAACGCCAGCCTACAGGAGGACATGGAGCACATCTTCGCGGACCTGCAAAATTTCTAGCGAAAATGACCTCACTCACTGCCAATCGCATGTCGCGTTTTTTTGCTTTTAATCTTCCGTGCCCTGGTTTTGGTCTTTCCCGCATGTTTTGCTGATTCCTTCTTTTTCGCCAAAATTACGTCTTCTTGTTAACCTCTTTCGCATCGCCTCCTTTTTAAAGCTATAATAAAAGCAGGCTAACGCTACCGACAGCACGTTTTGCATGCTCTGAGAAGGCATTCGCACGTCCCTGGCGCCATCCAGTTGGTTGTTGGCAGCATGTTGGGTTTCTAGTTGAGGTTTAGAAGGTGACCTTGGTTTCCATAGTCGTGAATACGTCGGTAGTAGTTGGCAACCGCTGTGGTGGTTCCTAGAGCTGGTCTTGCCTGCCGTTCGCATGTGGAGGCTGGCGATCATTGCTGGTACCTAGTTGCACCTCCCCTTGAAAGGGGGTTACCGGATGCACGATCCTTCCAACGTTCTAATTCTTCGGTTTGTTCCACCCGTAGACGAGCTGGTCGCAGAGAAGGAGCGGTACAAGGCGCTCGCGGAGGAGTTGGAGCAGACGTTTGCGGAACTCACCGGAAATTAGAGATGATAGCACACTCGCCTTTTGTTCCTCACCCACCTTCTCTCGTTCTATTAGCAACTCTTATTTCTCCGATAATCTACTCAAAGCCCTCCTCATCCCAAGTCGCCTATTTCCGTACAGAAGTGGTGATGCTAGTGTGAAGGTCGACGGGTGGAACCTTAAATCCACCTTTTTTTGGGCCATATATTTCGTCTCTATTCGAACTGCCAATCAGTGTTTTGGTGAACTAGGCCGTATATATATACATACATACATGACTTATTAAAGCTGGCGCATATATATACACTCGCCCATTTTCGAAATGGTAACACGAAACTGTGCAACGTTGAGATAGGGTGGAAGTCTGATTTCGAAACAAGATCTAAGGCAGGATGGTAATCCTAATGGGATACTGTTTTCAGATTCAGGTGGTCGCGTTGTGCACGGATTCAACACCAAAGTGTCGATGAGCCTGTTGCATTGATCCTTTCGCAGCATGGACAGAATTCGCCCATGTCATACTTTATAGCGGGACAGATGTGGTCTTGTGCAAACGGCCTCGATTATAGCACTAGAAGATCCTTACACCGCAGGAAGATGTCTCCCCGTGGAGATTGGGGCCTTGTATCGAGAAGGATACTTTAGACTGCAATGCCTCCTCACAAACAAAGGCCATATCACACAGACAATTGAGCAGAACTGTAGTCAGTTTGCGAGCTCACTAGATGGAATTCGTGCACAGATAGCTTCCAATCTCCTTCCAGGTAGTTATTCAAATCGAATTTACCGAAATCGATAAAATGGCATGCCTTGAGGTTCTGATCAGTATCCTTAATAAGACGCAGGAGACTTCCGTGTGTTGAGTCATGTTTTAGCTAGAATATTGCTTGTCACATCTGGGCAAAGTTGACGTAGATTGATATTTTTCTAAATGATTAGTTCTAACGAACACAATATCAAAACTCAACCACCAAAGTCCGCTTTAAGTAAAGTGGGGTTTTTCCCGACAGCCCCAACTTGACGTTCGTTTGCTTCCACCTATTGCTAGATCAATTGACCCTACAACCAGAAGTAAGGATCGACACAGAACCTGATCCGTCCCAATACCATGGGAATTGTACCAAATTATGTGATGAACGTGGCTGTGGTTTAAGATACATACACAAATTTCACAATCCAATGAGAAACCGATGTCACTTCCGTTAATTCGGCACCACAAACCCACTAGTTAATAGCCAGCAACAACGCGAGAACAAATATAATTGACGCGCCACGGTGGATGCCACCGTTTACCCGCACCGTCGTATTTATGGAGCACTTGCCGACAAGCCACTTGTGGGAACCAATGAGAGAAGAGGTTACTACATGCCAACTAGCATGAATTGAGCCTGTTCGAACGCCTTTTACTTAAGCCACTATAAGCTGACTCTGGCATTTGATAAGTTTAGCTGCCAACATCTCAAGAGATCGTTTGATCGATGGTTCCAACATGCTCAAACTGAGTTCGAATGAATGGGGTATTCGTGGAGATTACATACGTTTTGAAGACTCTAGTGACAGATTGTGTTCAAGTTCAAGTCAGCTTTCCACCTCCTATAGGCTTCTTAGAAGACCATCCCCATCTCTGGTTGGCTGAGCCACTGTGGTGCCGCCAATATATTCTGACATGGCGTAGTTTAGTGAAGGTGTGGTTCCAGCATATTTGCGTCCCACTTCTGCAATGAGCCAATTGATGTGCGACTAGATCAAATATAGTAACGCCCCACGCCAATTCTACAAGTTTAAACCAGCATTCCATACATTGTGACTCGTTTAGCATCTGCGAGTATGCCAGAAGACCTGATTTATGCTGTACACGAACATTTATCAAGCGATATACACGCAATCAGCATAATTTAATCTGCTGATAAGAAACGGGCATCAAATCACAGTGCCGAAATAGCTGAGGTCAAGGCTCCCACATGATTGGGTCAGTGCTGCGAAAGGATCGGCTTTAAAGACCCCAATGCTCATTGCTAAAAATACTATGAGTAAACAGACGAAAAAGGTACCACATTTTTATTCACGAGGGCTCGAGGAATGTTTGAAGAAGGAATTGAAGCAAGTCAATTGAGAATAACGCAAACAAGTCAACAAGATAGGCTTGGTGGTGAGTTCACATATTCACATATTGCTGGAGCGTTGACAATAAAACGTTTATGGGGAAGGGTAAGATTAATAGCCTTCACGAACCACACCGAAGTTTAGCTAAATACGCACTGCCAGGACACACGAAAAGAGAGAGCTACACACAACGACACCAATATTGGTAATCGGCGCGAATAGAGAGCGGATCAGACGGTCTAGACAAGGCTGTCGTCTTCAAGCTTGGAGAGGAATGCTGCTACCCGGTGCTCTGGTTCCATCTGCGAAAGAAAGAAATTGGTCGACAGAGATTAAGTGCCCGGCCACTTGACTCAGTACATCGATTTAACCAATCACCTGTCGTCTGAGGCTTAAATTCTCTCGGCGGCATTGAGCCAATCACATTCGAGCTGCCAGGTCGAGATCACGACCAATCAGGCACGCATGTTTATTCGCGGTGAATTCAACAGGCCGGATGGCTCGTTGACATTTTCAAATGGGTTGTGCTCAAGTCACTCGTTATTCAAATCCACCGCCTAGCCACCAAGAGGCCAATACACGTCCACAAAAATATGTCGTTATTCCAAACAGACAAAAAGAGTGATACTGACGATTAGAAGACAAGGAGTGCCACGAGAACAATGAGGGGATATCGTGTCCACCACGGACACGATGGTGCTGACTGAGCCTGGACAATATTGAATCTGTGATTGCTGCCGATTACAATTATTTGTTTACCTTTTCATTACAGGTTTTTGTAATCGCCCGAAATCTGGGACACTGTGAGTGGATAAGCCAACAAACTACGACTGACCTTCGAGACGAGATCCAGGAGGTCGATGAGGTGCTTGATTCCAACACAGAGGGTGAACGAAGGGTCGGTTTGCCTTGAGGAGGAAAAAGAGACAACGTGTACCAACGCTAGAACCGGCGGTATGTGCAATAGCTTAGATAAGGTAAACCAACTCACTGGCGTTGGATGAGGTTCCGTTCAATCTGCGAGCACTCCTGAGCCGTGAGGCGCTGGTCTTCCTCCAGGGCCGACGCAATGTGCTCCGGTTTCGACATCATGCTAACGTGGATGTGCCACGAGAAGGAGTGCGTCACGTATTGCTCCTCCATGGCACTGCGAAGGCTAGTCGTGGCGAGGACGAGCATCTTGCGACCCTGCAACATCAACGATGCATAGAGTAGCGGGAGGAGAAGGCTCTGGATTCGTTCCAGGCGCCAACATTCCAGCAAACGATCAAGTTCCTATCAAACTTACGGCAGGAAGAGGCTGTGAGACCAGATCCTTGATTGCTTGGACCATGTAGTTGGAGAATCTGGGCCCAACTGGGTTGTATTCGATAAGGCCCTCGATGTTATCCACAATTACCACACTCATTGGAGACTTTGCGGCGTCGTCGAAGACCTACATCGAAAGAAGAGGCTAGAATCTGAGACAGATGGGTTAGGAGAAACCCTCTGTGTGTTTATCAGAATTCTGCTCCATCACGTGACGCAAATGTGATTGGTCGGTTTACTTATCAAACAGCAATCGATTGATTGAATTTAACGCATAATGGCGAATTTCTTACAGCTGGCATAGAAGTAAATATTCCACTCCATACAGCTGAATTTCACGAGGCAAAACCAACTGCGCTCAGGTGTACTTATTTCCGTAACGACCGTGAACTCAAACTAAACCTAAGGGCAACCAGACACTGCAAGATTTCCAGATAACAAAACCGCAATTAATTGCCCCAATTGCAAGAAAATTATTCGCCATTCGCCACATCGTGCAACGCCGAGCATTAAATGCTTCACCACACTTTGGCACTTACAAAAATTCCAGAAGGCAGCCATTCAAAAATGCTTAAAACCGCAAAAACCTTGAGAACGGAAAGCCCGCCAATTCTGCTAAATGATGATAGGCTGCTTCACTTTACGCGGGAGCAAAATGCGACCCGCCAATTTCGATTGGTCTTTACAAAAGCTTCTTTTTAAAACGGCACATCGTTGAAGGGGTCAACAGTTGTGATTTGAGGAGATGACATGTTAATCGAGGGCTTGTTAACGCCTCGAGGCAAATTTTTGGGAATTTTGAGTAGTCTGCGTAAATGTGCCCAGTGGGAAATGAGGATTCAAGGTTACTCAACGACTAGTGGGTGCTGCCGGACTACAAGTTGCCTCGACAACCCACAACATTAAGCTTCAAGCAGCGGGTGTTTCGGCTACAGAGAGAACAGCTAGTGGAAAATGTAGACGACAGACAGTCGTGTCGACAAGCGACGACTATATCGATTATTTCCCCAGACAATGATGCTGTCATTTGTCTGAACAGAAAGCAACCAATTAGAGGCTGAAATGGTGAGTACTCAACTTTGAAACATCGATCTAAAACACATGCAACAAAATGGCGGGTTTTGAGAACTCGCGAGAAGGGGAGGGATGGAATATGCGCTGTGATTGGTCCAAAATCGCGACACGCAGGGGGGAAAGAAAGCAGCAAACCTTCGACTTTGGCAGATGTAAAATTCGCGCACGCCAAGATGCAAAGCAGAGCAGTGACACTAGGAGGCGTGTACACTTTAAATTATTAATTGCGCAAATCCCTTTTAGCGCTGTGCTCAGCCGGCAAACGTTAAAAGGGAGCGTGTTTTGTCTGAAGTGGAGTGATTGACCGGAACTTCAAAATCGATGGAAAGGTTCTGGCCACGCTACATCCAACACCGTTTTAGACAACGGCATCGATAAGCATTAAAACAACTTAAATAAAAACACCCTAGACAGAGGGAGAGAGACACCTTCTTAATGGCCATGCACTTCGCAGTCTCCGTGTAGCCAATCATCTTGTGTGAGGTGACAATCTTCACGAAAGGAAAGCCCGATCGTCGTGCGATCTCGACGGCCAACGCCGTCTTGCCGGCCTTCGGGGGTCCCTCTAGGAGCAGAGTGACGGGCCGATAGGTCTCCCGGTCGGACTGGGAGACCGCACGAACCGCCAACTCACCCATGGCCAGCGACTGGGTCACCGTGTCGCCCCAGATCATTATTCCGCGGGGAGCATAGTGCGCCAGCTCCTCATCGGCGGTGCCGAACATCTGGAATAGAAATCGATAAACATTGAAGCTACAATCTACTCGCGAGGGGAAGAGCAAAAAGTGAGTGGTGTTTTCAGAGGAAGCTGGGAGAACGAAGAGTGGGGCTCAAAGCACACACCGGCTTGACGTCATTCTCCAGGGCGAACATGAAATCGGAGCGTTTGACTAAGAGCTTGTCGAAGGCATCTGGGTCGATCTTCTCCTTTCCTGATGGCTAAAATGACAAAATTAAAGCTGAGTAAACTTGACAATAGCCGGATTGAAATTCGTGCCGAGACAAGCGTACCACGGTTTACCGCGTTCGCATGTCGACCGAACACAAACGCTAGTGGATTAAGAAAACTCCGCGCATGTAAAATTCAGTCAAGAATTTGTCCGATTCGCGCTAACAACAAACTACTGTTTCCTCATGATAGAATAGTGATTGCCTTTATCACCTCACATTACACCGAATCCCCATAAGTGCTGTGAAACCAATAGACCCACGTGTTTGGAATGTGAGGTAGACTTTGGAGTCGTTGGTAGTCATTTCGGCATCGGTGTTCCGATATTTTCACGTCCTGCTGATTCACCAGTTTGGAAGGGAAGTGGCGTCTGTCGAAAATAAGCTTTGAGACACGACGCGAAACGAGATTTATCGCCTGTTTGCGTGAAGCTGACTTCAACCACCCCATGCTTCAGCAAAGTTTGCAGACAACTATTTCAATTTTCCAGACTAGATTTCCGATGCATCGCTTAAAGAATATTGAAAGAAGGTAGCGAACACTAACATTCGAGTTCCTGATGCCAATACATCACAATTCAAGCAAATCTCGGGTGTTGTTTGAATGTCGAGTGATTTCAGAGAGGATGAATATGACAGAAGCTTCTATCGGTGACGTCAAATGCCACCGCCAGAGGCTGATTCTGCAAACTGGGAATTCACAGGCACGGATATTCCTCTACTAAAGGCCGGTACATCTATAAAGAACTATCACGTCGTGGGTGGTGACCAGAACTCGTACAAAGAGGGTTCCAGCAGACCTCAAGTTCGACGATCTGATTCACGTGCATTGATTTCTCGCGATTGTGAGAGATCTAGTCAAAGGCTGTGTTTGTTTAGATGGATATCGCTGATACGCAGCGTGTTACCTAAGAAGCGATTTGGTCGACCTTGTCGTGTTGTCATGTCACCAGGCAACAGTTTGACCGCTGAGTGACCTTGTTAGTTGTAGCGCGTTGACGTTCACGAGTTTGCATTCAATGCCGACTCACGGACACCTACCGAAAAGTGCTTAGTCATAATGCGTTACTGCGTAGTGCAGAAATTTCGAGAAAGCAACGCTAACAGAACACGCACACGCCAAGCGATGGGTGAAAAAAAACGAGTCTACCGATTCTTGAGACTGGATCTCGAAAAGATTGATGGAAATCTCCACGAAATCAGCATGATGGAATATGTCGCTTTGGTGGGAAAATGATTGTTATTGAGACCCCGTCGTGAAATTACGGTCTCAGTTGTGGAAATAAAAAAAAGATAAGGAAGAGTACTGGGATAGAGCTGGTCGGTAAAAAGGGAGCTACCTTGACTAACTGGTACATCGCCGTGAAGGCGGCAGCCCGACAGAGGCCCTCGATTTCAGCACCGCTGAAATTCTTCGTTCGTGCGGCGAGTTCCTTCAGGTCGACGTCAGGACTCAGTTTCTTGGAGGCCGCCATCTTCGCGGTGTGGATGTTCAGGATCTGCAGTCGACCGGCTTCGTCTGGCAGTGAAATCTCGAGTTGCATCTACAACCAAGACGTGAGTTGTGCTTGAAGGCATGACCTCCACGGGCCCACCTACTGAAATCGATTTAAGTAGCACCAACATCACAGGAACTACCACCACTTCGCACCACAACGACACAATGCGGTCGAACTGCCTACCTCAAGACGTCCTGGACGCAGCAGTGCCTCGTCGATCATGTCGCGACGATTGGTCATCCCAATGACGAGGATGTTATTGAGTTGGTCGACACCATCGAGTTTGGTGAGAAGCTGGTTGACCACGGTATCATGTACCCCAGCTCCTGAGCCCTAAATTGAAAACCAAAAATGGTGAGTTTAAAACTGATACGTTACCATAACAACGGAACTTCGGGATTCAACGCGCAGAAATCAATAGTGTGCAGAAGCAACCTAGTTCAAGGTCAAACCTGAGTACCAATCTACGGCGCCTACAAAAATCGATAAACGATTGTCACGTGAAAGCGTGTGACAGCGGGGAATCAGCACAAACATATGAAACTCTACTCGAGTAAGACAAGAAATTAACGATCCCAACTACCAAAAAATCGATAGGAAGAATAATCGATATCGATTAGAAGGGAAATTTAAAATTTAGACATTAACTTTACCTCATCATCTCAGTTTCGACAAAAAAGTGGATTTCTATACAGGTTGGGTGTAATATTTTAGATTGAAAATGTCAAAAATCTCCGTTAAACAAGTTGATTTCGGCCACTTGGGTTTCGCTGGGCCACAAATACGTGAAATTTGATCAAATGAAAGTTTTTTCATGACTATTAAAGTTGTGGTGGAGGAAGTCCGAAAATGTCCACGCAGGGCAACGCCCACAAACCGCCTTGTGTGATTCAAAATTATGATTCGCCTCAACTTACATGGCGCAGAGCTTAGTTGACAGTCACGTGCCCTCAAAAGCAATCTTTGTAAGCGGAAGCAAGTTAGGGCTGTCGTAAATCAAAGTGACCTTGAGGCACCAATCAGGACACGACCTTCAGGAAATCCCACCACATTAATGTGGAATGACAACGCAGTTTTGTTAATTCTACTGTTTTTACACAAGCACACCCAAGTTTTATACGTTGATGACCTTCAGGCCGTTTTAAACAAAAGTTGGTATATGGTTGTCTGCACAGGATGTTACCTATCCAAGGAAGAGATCAACCAGATCAGACGGAGGCCTACTTATTCAATTGTAAGTAGTATGTGGACGTATTTTTACCATAGTGCTATGGGTTGGGGAACAAAGTTCGACACTTTAGGGAAACCTTAGTAGCACGTGCCAATCAAATTTCGAGTCAGTCAAACCGCACAGATTGTCATGGCAACGCTTAAGGAAGCGCTTGCAGCTTACAACAGAGCCTCGGGTCTTGCAGATGGCGTCGATCTCGTCGAAGATGATGATGTGTAACGCGGAGTGCGGACCCAGTCGTTTCTCCTCCTCCTCCGCGTCGGCAAAGAGCTTTCGAATGTTGGCCTCCGACTCGCCAACGTACTTGTCCAGGATCGAGGGCCCGTTGACGATTTTGGGCTCGCGGGCATTCAACATCTTGCCGATCTGGCGTGCCATCAGAGTTTTGCCAGTGCCCGGCGGCCCGTAGAGCAGAATGCCTCGGACGTGTTTCATGCCTGAAACGAGGGAAGACGTCAGGACTTCACCAATCGAGATCCAGGTGTTCCGCGAGTTCAGCAGCCACGCACTGATCCAACTAACCTAGCTGCTGAGAGACCTCGGGCGGGAACATCCGAGAGGCGAAGGTGCGTCGAAAGATAGCCGAGAACTCCTTGTCTAGACCGCCGATTCCCATCTGGGCAAAGTCCCAGTTGGGGTTTATGATACTCATGTGCCCGCCTGCCCCTCCCAGACCCCCCTGGATCGATTTTCCGATCAGCAAGAGGGTTGACTCTGGTGTGCGTTCCCACGTCACAATGGTGTTACCCGTGAGTAGTCCAAACTAAAAACACGACGCGCGACTCGCTTAAGACCATTCTAATGAGGCTCCACAAGGATGAAGAGGGGTTTCCAACTTACCTGGCACTTGCTGTCCCCCTTCTGCATGGATACCGCTATAATCGAACGATAAAGGCAATCAAACCGACAGTAAAATTATACAAAAAAGCCATTGGCGCTAACGTACAAGGTGGTTACGATAAGCACACGAAACAAAGGAACTTTTGATGATTCCAGAAACAGACTGATAACAATCCTCTGTTCCAGCGGGCCTGGTTAATGCTCTAGAAACCTATCCAGGAGAAAGAACCTTGACGTGACCAGATCTAATGAATCCGGTGGATCAAAAGAAGAGATTAGTCTCCAGACTACCGCTGGAACGAAGAGTGGGTAGTAGGTAAACAAGATTTGAGGTGACGTAGCCTGTGTTACCGACGCCTAAGAAACGCTGTTAGGTTCATTACTCAATCATTGTCCATAAATTTAGTTGATACGATGCAGAAGATCTACCTGACAATGACTTGACCGTGACTGACAGAAGAAGCTGGTCGAACCGAAAGAGAAGTGGCTGGTCAACCGTCAGCGGTGTATCAGCCATGTGAGTTGAGAATTTCTGGGAGAGGAGGTCCGAATTTATTGGGTCGCGGGGTCCCCTAAAGTGGGCGCTGAAACAAACCGGGGCACCTACTGTTTCTTCCCGTGCATCTCGACAGAGAGGTGGGCCAGACTGAGGTAGCCGTTCGGGCCGATCTTGCAGGGCTCGATGCCCAGCACCTGGTCCAGCGATATGTTCGCCCACTTGCGCTAGAGTGTGGGGAGGGGTGAGTTAAAGCGAGGGACGTACGTGCACCAGGCCGAAGCCCACTTTGCCCGGCGGGATCTTGTCGCTGGGATCCACGCGGAACAGATACGAACCGACGCCTGTGTGAAAAATGCTGTAGCGCAGCGACTCGTTGTATTCACGACTGTTTAAGAAGACGTGGTTCGTCAAGGACATCTCCTCCGAGGGCGCTTTTGTGGCTGTTAGTTGCATAACTATGGTGTCTCCCAACAAGGTGCCCGTTAATCCCGGAAGAAGCGATCAATCTTGTTGCAAAATCGTAATAAATGGATCAAATGACGATCGCAAATTATATTCGATAACATTTAACAACAAAAGGACAAAGTGAAATCTCTACAAGCGCCAATACTTAACCAACCGTTTACATTGAATCAAAAAGTACACTTAGGTACACTTGCCTTAGGATCTTAGGTTAAAATAATGCAGCAAGCACTGGATTAGTTATTAAATGTGGCCGTTTCTCCTTAACTACGGAGTAATTTAAAACGAGCGAGACTAGTTCAAATTCTGGGAATCATTTTACAAACACTGGAAACAGGTGTTCATGGTCCGACAATAAACGACCTGACAATGAAGCTGGTAATCTTGGAAGAAGATACAAAGAAGGAGAAACCAACCGCATTTTAACGTTTGGCAGAAAGACATAAATATGAGAGTAGAGAAGAATGGAATTTTGGAGTCGCGTCTTTACTCTAGAATGAATTATACTTCCAAGTCATTCAAATTAACGCATCTAGTAGTAAAACGATAATCGATCTATAAGACACCTTTTGGCTAGAATACGTCGCAACACTTGCTCTGCAAAAACGAGTCGGCAGGCGTTATTAAATTTGGGATCACTCAAGAAACAGGTCTCATTAAAACCATGTACTTTTAAGCACTCAAGCAATGAAGGGATGTAGAGAGACCACATTTACATTAATATAAGGAAAAGAATCTCTGTATGTGAAATTTTCTCGTAACTTAATGCTTTAAAAATAGTGTACTATTAAATGTTTGCTCGGTGTTATCAAGACGATTAGTTACAATGGCTTCCACTCGAAGGTCCAATGAACAAAAGTCATGCATAAGAAAGGAGTGTCATTCAGGTAGTGTCAATAAAAATATTACATCGGATATATTTGCGTAAAAACCCAAATGATTATTATATGGAGAAAGCATAATAATAAGTATGAATCGAGGGAATAAAATTACATCTAAAAGTAGACGGAAGTGATATTTAAATATAAAACAAATGAAAAAAAGACAGGTTATACTACATGCACACTCATCATCAATTTTCATCACCTTGTCGTAGCCACTAAATTACAGAAATGAAATAACGAGAACCTTAGCCACTTCTCACCTATTAGAACGTCAAGATTCCACGTCGAACTCAGCGGTACCCGATTTAATTAATAAGAACCATCCTCAAGGTTAACGGAAATTTTGAAATATTTTTGAAATCTTGGTATACCTACCAACCTTTATCTTACACACACTAAGAGCCACACTCCTTTAAAAAAGCACTCTTTAATTAATGAATTTTGAGGGTGCATTTAAATGTGAAGGGCTTAGCGAACACCACGCTAGAAATATTTGTTTTATGTGAGAAACAATAAAAACATTAAATTTAAGTAGTTCAGTTACCTTACCTACCATTTGATATAATGATCATTTTCTAATTTACACATCTTTTAGTGTTTTCTATATGGATAATTATTTGTTGAGTTTCTAGTCATTTTCTGTTTGACTCATATATTTGATTTGTTCTAAATTAGTGAGACAGGCCTACATGTTTATGATCCGAAAATGCTCTTTTAAATCTAAAATACCAACAAATTCGATATAATTTATGCTCTTCTTCAAAAAAATCTCTTCAAGATTTTACCTTTGCTCACTGTGATAGTGTAACAGGTATTTGATGCCATATTGGAGTGATAGTAGAATATATGCTTTTTTCCTTTCAGTGCATATTTTTTAATCCTATAACTAAGATGCCTGATAGGGTTTTAGACATAAAATTAACTATCAACTGTATTCATGTGGACGCAACCATGCCGTAATGTTGACATTGAAATCTACCAACTAATACAAACTATTTCTACCCTGGCAAGTCCAACATGACATATATGTGATAAAGATTATGTATTAAGTTGAAACAATTTGGTTTTTTTCATTTTGTTAACCTCATGCTTTATTCAAAGACTTTCCTCTCTAGGTTTGACAAAAACATTTAGGTGTTTTTTTTTAAAAAAATATCTTTCTTAACTTTAAACTTATGATACTAACCCTGTAAGTGATCTCTTACATGCATGGACGAAGGTTGCTAACCATGATTTTTCGCAAAATCTTGACTGGCCAATGGACGCACACTGAAAAACCAGAAGTATCCCTGCATTGCTTTAATGTAAAAAGAGTGAGGGTCTAATAGATGAAATGTGGGATTTAAGTTAATAGATTAACCTATGCAGACAATATTCTTGGTATTTAAACTAACGCATTGTGAGGATCAGCACAACTACGAAAAACGCAAAAGATTTGGTATCCGAGTTGTAATTCACCTTATTTGGTGTATTCATAAATTAAAATTGCACACTATTTTGATACGTGTCCTTCTCAAATGCCGTAAAAAATATCCATTGACAAAACCTCGACCGAGTAGGCGCATCGAGATCAATACTTGGGGGAAACCTGTACATATTACCATAAAACATACAAAGTAGTATTATGCTACATTTCGTCCGACCAACAAAGCAAATACTGGGAATCAGCTCCGAAGATTACAGATATAAACCCAGAAAAATTCTAATTTCATCACTTTTATTCAACAATGCATTGCAACCAATCAGCGTGAAGTGCCTACACCTGTCAGGTGTCGAAAACACCCCTACTGTTACCGGAAAATATTTGCAGTTTGAGCTTGTTTTGCGTGCCTGTTGTGTAATTCTTCAATTCAGGGCTTCATGTTTACTGAAACGCAAATACAGGCACTACTAAAGACCTCGTAGCCCTTGGCGTGACCTTGCAATGCTCAACATATGGTTGGCGGGATCAGTAAATGACAAACACTATACCCTTTTCTGAATACGCTGCCTTATGACCTCGGATAAGGGCTAGTAGCTTCATGTTCAATATCACTTCTCAGACTTATCTTATGGCTTCAAAGCCTCGGAAGTTTTTGCTTGCTACTGGCACACACCTATTGAGTGGACAAGTTTAATCAAGTGCGCGCACCTTGAGTATTATTTATTAATAAAAACGTTTTACAAGTACATTTTGTTTGCCCACATTCGATTTTGCAATGGCTGGATCGATCAGGGCTCCTTTTGACAATCTACCTAGTGAAACAATAACGGCTAAGGACCAGTCACAAAATTCGGACTCGTTATTGGTTAAAAGATGCCTTCAAGCCTTACTGGAACAAGGTTTTGGCACCTGGATTGCAGTGACTTAACTTCTGGGAAGTAGGCGTTTAATGCAAGTTACAATTTACCTGACCCCACTCACGCACCGCTAGTGGACTTAGTGGTGCTAAACAGACGTGTGTGCACTCAGTCAAGTGACGCAGCCAATCAGGAAGCCCCAAGTGCCACGGCACTGGAGAAATCTATCAGCGCGCAGCTTGCGACGCGCTAGGAGACTGAGTTCACGAAAACAGGAGCAGTCGGTGTCGCATTCCACCAAAGTTGAACACCATGCTCCGTCAAGCCTTCGGTAGGTTTTTTTAAACTGATATCTATACCGAATACCTCCTCTTTTTTAACAACCAAGAAGCACTAAACTTCAGCCAATATATCACTTCTTTTTAGCCCTTCTGTATAATTCAGGGCCGTACTAAAGTTGGTAGCTTAAAGCACACGTTGTCTCACGCTGAGGGAGCTTAAAAGTAACGCTTCTAAGGAGTTTAAAAGACGTTGTAAATTCCTCCTCATTGGTGATAACTGGGGACGATAATATCGACCCTAAATGCACGTGGCAGCACCAGAAAGCCAAGATATTGGGGTCTTTCCTCCACGTTTTCGAACCAACCCACTAATCCACTTCTCTGCCCTTCAGCATTTGCTTGCTGCTTCATGGCATTTTGCGCCTACGGACAAGAAATTCAAATCTCCAACGAAACCATGGAAATATCGGTAAATGCGTCGGAGCCTCTTCAGAATAGCACCAAACAAGCCGATATACAATGTCCAAGTTGTTATGGACGAAGTGTTTGTGTCAAACCGACCAATGGCAGCGCCGCCTCCTGCTACTGTCCGCCGGATTACGCTGGCGAGTTGTGTGATCAAGGTTCGTAATTTTTGGCGTTTGATGCACCCAATGTTTGAGAGTCATAATTGTAGTCCACTACTCGAATGTGCGTCCACACAATGTGTCAAGATGCCCTGTAGAAGCGGCCAATCAGAAGCCCACACAACACAGGATGGGAGGAACCAATCAAACAGTTGAACGCGAAATAATTGTAGCGTTAATGCAGGCGTCAGTTAACTAGACTGAGTGCGATGGCAGGATTAAGTCGATAACTTCATTAACCGCTTCCAACTGCATATCACACTGAGAGAATGCTTGTCTCACTAAGAATGACAACGTTTTTTGTCTGCGTGTGCTGACGAGGCGGGTTTTAAATACAAATGTTAACCTAATCACGGTTTCCACAGTTAAGCAACCAGCCACTGATATTGCGCATGGGTATTTTCCGGAACAATTAAAATGTCTGTGAAATTTGTGTGATGGTTTCAATAAACTTATTAGCAATTGATTAAGACATTCGACCACCCTCGAAGGTACCCTAGACACGCGCGATCCCTATATCAATGTTGTCATTTTTAGCACAAGTGATTCTTCCAGAAACATGCACTAAGAATCAATGTTTCAACGGCGGTATCTGCTCTGAGGGCAAGGAAACGACGACTTGTATTTGCCCCTACAACTACGCTGGAACCAACTGCACTCGTGGTATGTTCTCGGCTGTCGTTAGTTCGCCTTATGTCTGGAACAGCGGCACATTATCTTATTTGCTATCAAGGATAAAACTAAGGTTAAGGTAAAGGACAATCAGGACCCAGTTCGGTGTTGGAGGGGCTTGGATCCACTCACATGACGCACACGGACAATCAAGATTAAGATGCGCTGTGGAAGTGCCAGCTGAGGTGTATTGATCAACTTTTCTCTAGATCAATCAAGTAATCGATTGTGCGTGGAACACATCAGGTCAACCGGACTAGATTTATATTCACGAAAAGGGGACCAGTGGGCAGATAATGGCTTGAAGCACCACCTTGGGATTTGAACTAACTCCCGAGAGATGGAAAATGAAATGAACCGTATGCGTGAAAGAGCTACAGGTCAAATGGCGAGTTCAAACAGGTTCCATCTGCTGGCATAAATCTCAGATTTGCGAAGTTGATGCCTGATTGGCACCAACACGGTCACATCAACCGAGTGCTTAGCACATCGGTTGTCAAAAACATGCAAGCTTTGAGACCAGGGTTCATGTGAAATACGGAAGATGGGGTCAAATTAGAGGGAACCTCGTAAAATCTACTAGATTTAATTGTCTCATGTGAACAGAGATGAGCCAGGCGATACCTCTGATAGATTAAAGTTGGTTTTTGGCCATTTCAGTGGCAACATGGATTGAAGTCTTAGTGGACGTCTACAATGGAAGGTGGTTGCTAAGCGGGACTGATACCAACACCACGGAATCCGTGAAACGCGGCGTTGCATGTGGCAAGGTGAGGACTTGGCTGCTTGTTGAATGGTACCCTCGTTGTGGCGTTTACTTCCAGTCTCATAACTTAATGACAGTAGAGCACATCGTACACGCAAACTCACATAACCGTTGCCGTTAAATGTCATCGCGCTCTCGTTACGCCTTGATCTAATATAAGTGGAGTCTACACGCGAACAACAAGCACATTCATGTTTTCCTACGCAAACGACCTCGTGTGATGGATTTTAGTGCCAATTTTAATCACAAAAAGCCACCACCTGTTTTTGACAAACTATCTTACTGCACTTGGCACACTGAACCAATGTGGAGAGCCGTGATGAAAGACGTCGCGTAAGACAATCGCTAATTCATTCATGGAGTATTTGTGTCAGTCCACTTAAAATGGCTGGGGCATGCTACGTCTGGCAAGTAAGAATCATAGCTTTCGTAAAATGGGCTTAAAGCTGTATTTGAGAGTTACACCAAGCGTGCACATTTGCTTCTTCATACTAATCGATAATCTGGTGGCACAGCAGCGGAGATGATGACATTACTTCTCCAACAATACTTTCCCACGCGTTGCCAAACACGTGTGTGAAGCCTTGTATTGTCCACGTGGCACACGATTCCGTTGCGATTGGCCAGTTCTGAACGTTTTTATTGGTGGCCTCCTCTTCCAATTTCATTGGCCGTTGACCACGAACATCCCAAGTGATCGTTTGGCGCATTGAAACCGGTCCAAAATACGCGCCAGTCAAACGAAAAGCGCAGAGACGATCCATGTTTCATCAACGCTGATGACGTCTTTCGAGAGGGACGAGTCAAAATGTTTATGGGAGGCATACCTTACATGTAGACAGACTGTGCATAATACTCGTGTTGGAATCTCAAAGGAAAGCACTACTTGGCTAACAGAAGTAAACTACAATTCCACATAATAGAAAACTACCCTTACCCGGGATGCTTGTACCAACACAGACAACCAAAAATGTCGTTTTCGTCGAATCTACTAGCACGCATGACTCATACCATTTATTCCAGTGTAGTGGCTAAAAATTGGTTGCATTTATTGCAGATTATTTCGTATCTCTTGACTGGTTCCGATCCACGCATTACCACCTCCTTTGTCGACTGCTACTTTGATGGAATCTTGAAGAACGATGAAGGGAAGAAATCGCAAGTAGCTCTGCACCTCAAATTTGATCCCGGTGTCCAAGGCGAAGATATTTTGGCTTCAGCAGTGGCGCAGCAAATTGCCAACTCTTCAGAGCTTGTTGGAGGTCCCGCCTACAAAACCGCGATTGACGACCTCGTAGACATTAGTAGTATGTTTCAGTAGTATATGCCACTAGTTGAATGATCTCTAACGAAAAAAATAATCGGTGAAATTGAAATCGCCTTTAAATAACGGTTCCTTGGTGCCGATTTTAAATTGTCACCTTGTTTTAACGATTGGTTGTTTCTTTTCCCAGACTACGACGTCTGCAAAGCAAACAAGCACGACTGTTCGCCGTCTGCGACTTGCTCTTCAAACGGCATTACGTACACGTGTGCTTGCAAAAGATTTTACACAGATGGAGCTGATATCGTGAGGGCATTGCCTGGCCGTTACTGCTACTGTAAGTTGCTGTTGACGTTGTTGCCTTGGTAACCGTGGCCGCTGTTTCTATATTCTGCAAAGGGCTTCCACAGTCATCACAACCCCCTTCCCTCAAATTATCCAGCTAGGTGATTAGCGAAAAAATGTAGGAAAAAACGTGTTAAAGTCTCATCCAATCAGAGATAAGAAGGTCAAGAGATTCTGGTTGGACAGTAATGGCAATTTAGCTGTAAACGCAGACTTGTTGTGGCGATTTCGTGTCATGCAATCACCGAAAATGAATCGAACTAGGTTTTTAATGGATCGACAGGATAAGCCTTAGTCGCAATATGCGACAAGCCATATGACTACATTTAAAATCCGTCGTTTGTGCTTAGAAAGGTGTACAAACAGGAATGTTGCCCTGGCAAAACGGTCCAAAGGTCACAAACCACAGTGTCAGTCGTGGCATTCGAATGAAACGGTGAATTCAAGTTAAGGTCGGCTGTAAACTCAACATGTGGAGGAGGGTTATTTAAAGCGATATGCACGGCAAAGGTATCAAAGGAACCCTTGAAGCGAGCTGTTGCTATCTGATTGGTGGGGGCAACCTCGTAGAGAATCTTAATGAAAATGAACACCGTAGTCAAACAGCCAATCGGCCTCAGACGCATGAATTTCCTAGATGCATCTGGGCCAATCACAAGATAGTAAAAGAAGACTTTAATTTCTTGGGGAGGTAGACGTGGCATTTGAATGAATGGAATTTAAAGTGATAGCGTATCCAATTTATTAGAGAAATTAGCATATTAAATATGAAATATTCTCGGGAAACCCAATAAAATTTCTTATCTACCCTCTGGAACTTGGCTGTTCTATTGGTAAATTTTGTGCCAGGATGCGACTTGAGGTGTTCTCTAAAACATTTTTAGTCTTGTTACGACTACCAGTCCACAGATGCACAACACAGAGCTCAATCAGTTAATTCCCTCATGAGCATGCTAAGTGGGTGGCCTTGAGTGTGGATAAGAGAATTAGTATACACAAAGATGAATGGACCAATAGAGAGAGAGGGAGGGAGATATGAATACTAAAAAACAGAAAAATGCGAAGTGTCTTGGGGATGACATGTTTTGACTAATTTTACGGCCTCTTAGGGGAATCAATGATATCAAAATTGGGGTTTTTGATCTTCTAGACAGCTTCACCTCGGGGTTCCTCCTGGGGTGTGTGGTTGTCCTCCCACTGCTAATCGGGACAGTTGTGGGCACCTTCTTTTGGCGACGGTACCAGGCACAAAAGGCGTGGGTTCAGACGTCTCCTGACGACGCCGTTCAGCTGGTTCAGTCCCAATACCCCAAATACACTGCCTAAGGGGAGTCTGTCGTGCGCCAAACTGTCACATTCGCCATTCTTAACCCGCGTAATTACTAACGCCCATTAACCCCGCGAAAAAAAACAAAAGAGACTACGAAAATTAATGGCTATTGTGTTCTGTATTAGGGGGTTTGATGTGCAGGAGAATTACCAGAAATCTTCACCGTGTTGAGAAGCGATTGGGCGGCCACCACTGCCGGCTCTTCTGATTGGCCGACTTAAGTGCAAGTGGGATTCTAATGAAATCGATTTTCTTTCCGGTCAATATTCGATGCTAGTGCACCTTACAATGTCAAACCTAGAGAAGAGGGTTCCTTGGGCGGATCTTGTGTCAACCATTCACAAGACACTCAACATAACGCTCGGATCCTTCACTGGTCCACTGTCGCACCAATGAGCTTGCTGTACAAATATTATTGGACGCTGAGCGCGGCTGTTAAGTTGATTGGTTCTGTCAAGCCTTTTTAAGTGGTTTTTCTCATTGGGACATTGTGCCTAATCTAAAATTTCAATCACTTTGCAGAACAGCACATTGATTTCATTATCATTTTCATCTGGGTCGGTTCAAACTAACCATCTGCCGTATCTGTCTAACTATTAGACGGCTTTGCATTTACTGAACAGGCATGTTGCACAAGTAGTGGGAGTTGAACTCAGTATTACTTTTTATCTACAAATAACTAGTGAGACCACTCTACGGAATTCTTCTTGGCACTGTGGTACTGACTCCCTTTGTCATCGGATCGGTACTGCTTTTCTATTGGATAAGAAAACGCCAATTCAGGAAGTTCTGGATTCTCCCGGCCAATGAAACGATTGATTCATTGGGATTGGTGGATTCGCCTCGATACAACTACTCTGTCTAAAGACCGTTTCCTTCTCAAATTTCATTAAATATAAACTTAAATTTTTGTATTAAGGCGTTTACTTAGCACCAATATTTAGGTTTTAGAGTAGAGATACAACCTGTGTGCCAATTTATGTAAACATTCGTGGCTTATTGAGATTGCTTCAGTCCAGCGTTGGCAGAGATTGGATACATTCAACTGCAACGAAAAACGCGGGCCTCAATTTAAACAAATTAGTCAGAACCCCGAGAATAGGAGATAGATTCAGTGGAAAGACAGAGGAAGCATATCCAAGCGCCAATTAAAAGTTTCCTTGAAGACCGTTACAGCAATTTAGATAACTGACATATTTAAAAAGGAGTAGGCCAATAGGATGGTTGCGGTCTATATGAAGACGGAAAAGGTGTGCATTTATTTGAAAAGCAGAAAAAAATACAAATTTGTTGATTTTATCGAAAAACAAGAATCTTCGTCTCGCACCCATTGTGGAACAGTCCACAAACTCATATTTTAGCAATTTTTCTATCAAAACAAACCACTAAGACGAAGTTCTATTTTAAAAGTAACCAAGCAAATCTTTTCCAGGCACGATGAGTCATTATGTTCGTGAGCGTTTTTGTAGAGTATCGTTTAAGGAAAACTTACTAGAAGCAGGGGGATGTTAATGACATTATGGTAAAACTCTTCGCGAAATTTCTAAACGCAATAAAAATTATTTTGGACTCCGTCTTAATTTGTGTGTAAGCTAAAGTGTGTGTGCATGACGTACGAGGCAAATAGTCTATCTAACCCAATCTTTACGGTAGTTCACACATGGTCTTGAACGATTATCATTGGTCCAATCAAGTTTTAGGCGGTTTTTCAAAGAGGAAAATCGATAGTAGTCGCAGTTTAGGCCCGCGCATTGATGCAATGAGCGAGAATAAAACAAAATGGATTGAGGCGTTAACTAGGCGTGGAAAGTGCGACTCGGTGGTCGATGAATTCGAAAGCAAGCAGTTGGCGAATGTCATGAAGACGACGGGAGCCGAACGAATCATCTCCAATTACATCCCAGGTAAACTCGAGGAAACCGGCTGGAATGAGAGGATTTTCGAGGAATGTCGTAGATGGTTAAAAGAACACACGGCTAGTGGGAAACCTGTTTTTTATGGACAGAAAATTCGCGAGAAATACCGCGAACCAGAAGACGTTGATCCAAGTGAATTGGTTAAGCCCCTAGAGAAAATAGCAATGTCACTCGTTCCTGAAGTCGTGTGCAGAGAGCTTATGGACCATATTATAAAAGTGATTAACGAAAACCTGTTGGACTAATTAAATTTCCCAAATTGTTTAAGTTGCCTTCATTTCGGCTTGTTTATCTCGAAAATTCAGAGGATATTCAGCTCACATAATATAGATATCCTTGATTATGTCCTTGCCCGTGACCTTCAAACCAAAACGAAAATTTTTTTTAAAGTTTCTTAAGAATCAAATCGTTGTCATGGCAGTTTGAAAGCATAGCCTGATGCTGCATCACACATTTTGTGAATAGAAGCGACTAAGCCAGACTACCATGTAATAACACGCAGCAACAGTAAGTTTGGACATCAAGGAAGTGAATTTTGATTTGATAGTGCAGTTGAGTCATATAATTTGTGTTTTTCAGTCGTAGTTAGCAACGGCAAAACTAAGTACGTTGATAAATATCATCTACTTTGTTTATTTCAGTACAAAACAATGATCCGAGATGTTGTAAAAATGTTTTAATGCACTAAGTGTATAGGGAGCACAGAGCGCTGCCTATATCATCGGTCTGATCCATTGTGAAAAATGGAAATCAGTAAAATACCAAAACATAAAATGCAAAATTGCGGAGAAAGTGATGAAGCAGCACTAACGCTTGCTCCGAAATTGCTTACATATTTAAGCACACATCTGAGTGATGCGAATAACAGGTTAAATGAACAAAATTAGAATATATTTTGAAGTATCGGGCCAGAGACTGCTTTGTTTGTGAATCGCACTATTTGCAAACGGCATACACCGAACCACTCCTCTTTTCACAGCCACCTCAATAATAATGTACCACCGCCTCTACACTCATCTGAGTACTGAATTAGCATTATTCAGCAACTTCATTGTTCACGCATGACAGCAGGTTTGGGAATCTAATAAATGATCGTATCTCCGTAATCTCTGGTCTTCTGCAATTTCTCGGACACATGCGTAACGTACTTTTGTCAGTGCAAAGCACTAGCACTTGTACAAGGGTGAAGACGGTACATTTAGAAAAATCAATTGATTCAAGGTTGATATTTCGTGTTCCGATGAATCCGAATCTTAGGAATAGACATACGGACAACTTTGCATGCTACTGATATACTTTAAACACGAAATTTCAAATTAAACTGAGATTCGAATGACTTCAGAAATGAAACACGGTAAAATAAATTCGTTTAACGTTTATTAAGAAATGATAATTTCAATTACAACCATAAAATATATCCATGAAGTACATTTATGCAAAGTAGGCCATACAAAATGTAGAAAAAAGAAAAAAAGGAGGCAGTTTTTAAAAGATCGGTTTTATTTGCATAAATTGGCACAATGCAGCAGATATGTTTGAAAGACACGAGTCTTACAATCTCTGAGAGATGACTCCAGGAGGCCTACTTTGAGAGCTATGCAGTAAAAGCCCACATTTAATGCCTCTTTGAATACGAAAAGGATCATTTCTCAGTGTTTGCACAATATATTAGAAATATGTGTGAAACACGACACTAACTCCCTAGAATCGTCACTTTAACTAAATATCACGGCACCATGATCCATGATTACAAAGCTTATATTTTTTGCCCTTAAAAGTCCTTTCTGACACAATTAAACTTATGCTATTGCCCTACAAAAAAGTAATCGCTAGGGCTAGGCTTTAATCTAGGTGTAATTAATAATATTTTTTTCTTATTAATGTTTTATTATATTCCAGTGTGCACTAAGAGCAATGTGTAAAATAAATTTTTTCACACATTAGTTAATCTAATTGTTAAAAACCTGACTTGATTTTACGTAAAGCGCAATCATCGTCAGTATTCAAAAGATGTTGCGGTTGGTGCATCAGTCACTTGCAAACTATTGGTTGTTCTAGGATTTTTTGCCTTAATTTAAGTTTATTCGTTAAACAACGTTACTCCTCCACTGGAATCGTCGATTTCTATTGGTTGTTGGTGTGTGAAATGTATTACCTTGAATGCTTGTCCAAATGAGTTCGAACTCCAGTCCTCCTCATGGCTCTTCAAAGGATTTTAATAGTAAAAGCCATTTACAATTGCAAGACGAAGAACCTTTTCATCTTCAGCCTAAGAAACAAAAGTTAGTTGTATCTCGTTCGAGATTTGAAGTCAATTTTATTGACGTTTTTCAAAGGGAAATTATTTTAGGCTTTCAACGGAAAGTCCAAGCCTTTACTCTCTTTTCTTTGGGACACCGAAAGAATCGGAGAAGCCATTTACACCGCCAAATCCCGACGTCGTTCCAGATTTATCATTTGTTCTATCGCCGGTGAGCTTGGTGATTGTTTTGACTCCCAATAACGATTTGTTTTCGGCTATTGCTTAAGTCTGTTCTGATATCCATCCCATTTTAGTGTAAAAGTCTGTATAGTATAGTCCGGCAGCCCTTTTCCTCTGCGGAAAACGGCCTGGGTGACATGGGTATAGAAGAATACAAAAAACTTTTGGATTCTGCGCGTTCAGGAAAAGTGAATATAAGGACTGCTTACCGGACGATGGCTTCAAACCGAGTCGGGTAAGTTTTAACTCATGATGTATTCTGTGTTCTTTTGGCCGACTTTTCAGTAAAATATCGTCTTATCCGACCTGAACTATACTTCTGAACGTAATATTAAACACTTTTACCGTGTGTTTAAGCTGATAAAAACACCTCTGTTATTTTGGCATCACAACTGCACCCACAGACGCCTTGGGCCACAGTTATTTGTGGTTGTAGTTGTGAAAATGGTAAGTGCTTCTTTATTGTTATTTCTCGATGACAACGCTTATTCCTGAAAAAAATCGGCCAATGACTGCCGTGTGTATTAGTGGAAAATGGGCTTTTACAGTTGACGCTGAATGTTCACTTCTCCTGTCTTGAGCTCCCTTTGACAGCAGACCAAAATTCCAGTGGTCGAAGACATGAATTTATGCGTGAAGTGCATTTGACTAACGACGATTACCATACTTCTCTTTTGTTCGTTGAAAAGAAAGTCGTGTTTGTTAAAATTTATAGTAGTCCTTGAGAAGTGTCGATTATGTAAATCGTATTCTCGTTTTAGTCAAGGATCTCCCTCTAGTTTGTCTTCCGGTAAGTGCCTCGTAGCTTTTGTCATTCGTATTTTAAGTTTTTGGTAATGTATTATTCATACTCCTATCACTGCAATTAACGTCTACTGTATCTTAAATTATTAATTTAATGTAGGAAACAGAAAATTTTAGGCATTCAGTACCATTTCATAGTATGGCAACGTAGAAGTTAGAGAATGTGCTTTTGGCAAGTATTAAAGGCATGTCTAAATGTTCTATTCCGCTCTGTGGTTTGACAATCTCCAGACTGCATCAACACAAACGTGTGTGGTTTGATTTGAAATTCTTTGGAAGGCGGTTTATCTTACACTTAAATCACTGTAAATTCGGTCACAATTATCAATTTGTCGTAACCGGCGTCGACAGAGATGACGGACTTGAATTACCACAACTCAACGCTTTCAATACGCCATCCCATTTGGATTATTTTTCAATTGGGGTCGCCCACCATTGGTGAAGTGAAGACCACGTAGACTTATGCAGTAAATCATCGTGAATTTTTCTATTAGTTGATTAATTTAGACGTGTGTGAATCTACTTATCGTGATGGCCCGTCTGTTGTCACATAAAGTTCGCTTTTGAGCCCATGTTGGTTCTTGCTACTCAATGCTCACTTCCCAAGTCGAACACCTGAGTGCTGCCAACGTGTCAGGCTGTGAAGCATCAGCTTGTGTTTCTGCGATCACACACCTGCTCTAGTCTTCTTCCTTACTCGGTAAAACGAGCGTCTTGTGCTTTCAGTATCCCAGTCGTCACGTGACCTCGTTACCACGGCGCAAGCAGCAGGGGCGACAGGGAGAACGTTGACTGTGGCCTCACCCGATGCCGATGCTTGGTGCTCCCGTGTGAGCAACACGGCCTACCTCTCCAAGGCCTGGCTCTCCAACCTCGCCTCCACCTTTTCGACGTCCTCTAATCAACGCGATAAACAAATATCCCAGCTTGAGGCGGAATTGAAGTTCTGGGAGGCCCAGGTTGAGTGCTTGTTTCACGTGGTCTGCGTTGAGTGACGCTCGTCTGCCTAAATCGTCTGATTGGTTGAATCAGAAACTCGGGTTTATCGGGTGCTCTGGGTGGATTGGGCGAGTGTGGTCGATCATTTAATCGTAAACTAGCACGCTTAACCACCCGTTTTTATCGGTCACATGTGCGTTAATAGTTGGGATGGTGCTTGAACCAGTTGAAACAGAGGAAATAACCACTCTCAAAGAACACCAACCGAGACGAGCCTCTCTTGATCGTGAAGTAAATCGTAGCAACGAAGCCTAAACCTCATCCCCAATTTCCCCACTGCCTCTTGTAGCGGAAGTTGTCGGAGGCGGCGAAAATCGATGAGTTGGAACAGCGCCTCGCGTGCCTCCTGCGAACCCCTCCCGTCCTCGAAGACCCCTACCTGAAGCCCCAGCCCATCCCCCAGGAGCTTCCCTACAAACGCCCAGAGAAGCACGCTCTTCCCGGTATGCATTCTTTAAACAACAAAAACTACTACTTGCTAGAATGCGCAGGCGCTGAATTTACCCTCCATCCTTTTCAGTTCTCTCAGACGATCAGGTTGAGTTTGTGATGAAGACGCTGCGTTCGGCTGGTCCAGACACCGTTTTGGTCAATAATTATCGCCTCGCCGTTACCCAAAGGGAACTCCTCACGCTCACGGGCACTAACTGGCTCAGCGATATGGTAAGTGACGCTACTCCCTTGTTGTGCCTCAAACATGGCCTCTCAACGCCTAGTTTCCCACCCGCCTTTGCCTCTGAGGACTTAGGCTATTCTGCAAGATCACGGCAACCGTCGTTCTTCGTTAACCATGCTATTATTATCGTCTACTGCTAGGTGATCAACTTCTACATGCAGTTGTTGCATCATCGAAGTAAAAGGCTCCACGAAAGCAACCCCTCGTTGCCTCGTGTAGCCGTGATGAACACCTTCTTCTACCCCAAATTGGTCTCCGGCACGGGTTATGCCGGCGTGAGGCGCTGGACCCGATCAATCAGCCTCTTCGACCATGACCTTGTGCTAATCCCGATCCACGATCGGGGCATCCACTGGTGTTTGGCGGTATGTCGTCCCTACCTGCTTCGTCATCGACGTCTAAAAAAACTAATGTAACCGCCGGCCTCAAACGCTGGCGTTCTTGTGTAAATGGCGCTAACTATCAACACAATGCAGATGTCTCTCAATTAGCCTCCTATTTAAGTGCCCGTCGACGCATTTAGACTTTTAGTACTCGAATTTTGCTTGAATTGGGTGTCCAATTCGATGGTCAATAGGCTGTTGGTGCGACGTAATGAGTTTCCGTGCCCCGGAACACGAATTCTTAGTGGGTAATCCGATGTACTGATTGCGAAACGTGTTTTTGTTTTTTTTTATTTGCAGGCTGGCGATTTGCGGAAGAAAACTCTCACTTTCTACGACTCAATGGGCGGTGAAAACGATTTGTGCCTGGAGACCCTTTTGTACGTGTTTTGCTCACATTAATCTACACCACTGAGCACCTTGAGTGGAGGTCGGGCTTACTCCGTGAATCCTCCAATTTTAGGTCCTATTTGGACTCGGAAAGTCGCGACAAACGACAGAGGCCATTGGAGGATATGGCCGCGTGGAAGAAAATCAACACGGGGGTATTTCATTCTGTCTTGCTTTTGGCGCCAATGCTTCTCACTCCACCCTCAACGAGATTCTTTCCTCTTCCCGCACTGTAGTCCTCGGTACCGCAACAGAACAACGGCTGTGACTGTGGCGTCTTCCTGTGCACCTTCGCGGAGTTCCTGTCGCGCGACGCGGACTTCAAATTCTCCCAGGTACCTGTCGCGCGAGCTTTTCATGCTGACGAAAACCTCTCATTCCTTTTCTTTGTTGTTATCGGTGATGTAATGCTCGTGGTGGTTGTCTTTGCAGGCCGACATGCCGGACATAAGGCTGCGGATGAAGTACGAAATACTGACCCAACAACTCCTCACAACTGGCACGAACCTGGCACCGAGCTGAGGCCGATGGCTCTTTTTTCCACGCTCATCTGTTTTACAGTGTATTATAAGTGTGCTATTATTCAGATTTTATACCCCAGCACTTGCGCCTCCTTCGGGTTTTAATGTTTCCTCGAGGCGTGTTGAGGTGTTCAGTCCCAAGCCAACCACATCGTGACGTGTGGTTGACCGACAGTTCACGGAAATCCAGACTCCGGTTTTCCGAAGTGGCTTACATAGCCCTCACAACACTTCCAGCAGTGACGTGTTTAGGGCTTTTGATATTTGGAATCAGTTCCGTGGAAATAAGAGGAGTTGCAATGGTACCGAATTGGTGCCAACGAGCGTTGGATTCCCATTGGTTGGGCAACCATCACGGTGGAGAACGATCGATAAGTTTGTTCGCCACCTTATGGGAGGGGACAAATGTAGATTTTCCTGTGTCGAATAAGTAGCTGACGAAACTACAGTCCGACAGGTTGTCGGCTTGAACAATTGCTGCCTGGCCTTGTCCGATTCAAGGCTCAACAGCCATACACCAAGCCACATCGACAGGACAACGACCGTCGAACGCGACTACAGCGACATCGGCTGAATGCCAATCGATGTTACCACACCCTGGAGCAATGATGAGCGTGCAAAACTACCCTTGTGGATAGCCCGATAACCGGGAAATGTGCTGGCAGAAACTATAGCTATTACCGAGAGGTCAGGCCCGTGACGCAGAAACCATGGCAGATGATCAAAAAGCGGTTTCGGCAGAATACATAATATCTATATTATGCCTATTAGGTAATTGAAGATACCGTTCCAGTGCCATTTAAAGCCTAAAACGAATTGTACTGCAGAGAAGGATAATAAGGGTTACAAAAAGCCCCTAAATATTACACACAGACAAAAGTAGAAAAAAAAGGCGCAAACGAACAGACTGGGTTAATGGAATTAACAAGACAAGTGGTATAAGTTATGACAGAAGTGTACAATGATTGGCTTAATTCGGAAATCGCCCAATCGCAGAGTATCCACACGCACACGTTCACAAGCAAAGGATGAAACGTGGCTCAGGTGCTTGCTCCAGGTCCGTGCGTCGCAGATATTCCGGTTGACGTTGCGGCACCGCCAGCAGACCCACGACCCGTGGTGGAGAGCGCGGAAACGACCTGCGCGGGGCCATTTACAGTGGCTCCGACGGTGTTTTGAAAGGATTTGCGCTTGAGCAAGGAGGGATGAATGCAGGGAAGGACACCGCCATGGGAGATGTGCACGTTTTTAAGCAATTCATTCAACTCAGCATCGTTACGCACGCCGAGCATGATGTGACGAGGGGTTATTGTCTTCCTACAAAGACACCGAAAAAGAGCTAACACTACATGCAACACAAGAAACTCGAGCTGAGACAAAATCACGCCGTCGAGAAACAATGAACATTAGGGCTAGGTTTAGTAACTCCAATTGTTGCATAACTGACAAGCGCGTCGTAAAACGAGCCCGTAAAACGAAAGGCAGAAGAGACTTAACATTTATGAGACACAAAGACGACGCTGGTAATACAACTGTGTCGAAACATCAAATCAGTATATTCCGATTTCGCACGCAAATGTACCAGTAAAGTAAACGAGAACAGGAAAAAAAACTATATTGAAGGAACAAGGCAGAGAGAAAGAGCTTGAAAATTAAGCTAAAGTGCGATAAAAAGACAGTAGGTAATATAAGGAAGGCACCAAATCGGCACCTACAAGCACGAAAACATTAGCGTCACATAACTGTGGCCAAATCGTCACAGTAATAGCATAACTAAGGTAAGAGTTAAAACATCCAAAAGCCACTATTAAAGGCAATGGGTTTTGAGCAAACTTGGAATAGGTACCAAATGCACCGATAGCACTCACAGTTATTTAACCATGGTAGCTAAACACCAAAGATAAGTGAATGCAGCTACAATTACAACAGAGGTATTAGAGTGAACAAAGGAGGAAGTTGCGTAAAACAACATTTACGTAAGGTTTTGTTATCAATTAAGTCAGCAAACAAAGTACCTCTTATTTGCTTTAGCTGCATTTCCAGAGAGTTCGTTGACCTCAGCAACAAGATACTCAATGACAGCTGAAAGATAGACCGACGCAGCTGTGGAGGTACGCCGGGCGTACCGTCCGAGTTTAAGGTAACGATGGACTCGACCAACAGGCATGACTAAACCTGCCCTAAACGATTTGGTGTGTTTTTTGCCGCCTGCGGGCTTTCTAGCTTTCCCCCTTCCAGTCATATTTGACACAATCCGATGACAAAAAAGATGTCCGACGTATCGACAAGCGACCCGCTAGAGTTTATTTCGCGTGCACTAAAACAATTCAAACAAATATTTTTTATGTTGCAAATAAAAGGTAAATAAATAGTACAAACAAATAAAATAACAGAGTTATCGGAACATTTTCGCGTTAGAAGAAAATATCGTTTTTGTGGAACTGGAGAATGCAAAATGCGGTTTAACAAGAAAATAAGAAACCACAATTTTGTTAAAAGTTTCTACCATATTTATGTCTACCAAACTCTAAATCGTACCATAATTACAATGCGGATTATTTTACTCAAGACATTGCTCGACGGCTTGTCTGGCAATATTGAGTATTGTAACACGCAATAGAAGTGCATACTTATCCAAATAAATAAGTTTGCATTATTGCACAAAGACGTAAACAAAACGGAAAATTAAACAGACCTTGCGAATAGTATGTTAACAATTTATTTGTCAAGATTACCACATAAGCAATGCATAGGAAATTATCAACAGCGTATTTATTACTCAAGTTGTTATAATCAAAGCAACCTAAGCAGATTTTTTTAAAATTAACTCATAATTTTATTAAAATAGTAATTGTGATGGCTGTGTGACACGTAAATTTTTCTTTATTTCCCTAATGTTATCTAAACTGTAATGTTTCCATCTTTAGGGGACCCGTAAACTTTTCCCTTTACTGATTAGCCATAATCTCAAGTATGATCAGAAAATTAGATGTCGAATCCTAGTGTTCTACAAATTATCCTATAACAGTTTAACTTAATTAAGAAAGCTGGCATAAAAAGCGCTAAATTAACAAAAAAAAGCAGTTGAATGAATGTAGCGACGAAGTAAGAAGCAAACAAACTGGGTTACGCCAGCCTTCCCTAGTCCTATTTCTTTGTACGCTGTAATGGCCTTTGTAAAATATCAATAGCCAACCAACGACAAGAATAAATATGTAGTAATTAATCAGCGGGGCAGTTGGCGTTATATACTTGGATTAATTGCGCGTGGTTTGCAATTCTTGCGTATTAATGACTAATAAAACCTGTTATCCTATGCCACTATTATTCAAGCAGGGGCTACAATACTTTGCAACAGTGGAAACAAATGCCAGAAGAATAAACGCGTTGGACATTTTGGCTTATATTTAAAATGAACGACAGAGTCTAGGACTTATTAATGCAAAATACAGAAGTCATAATACTCCTTTTATCAGGGGCATCTAAAGGATATTTGAAGCCGCAATGACATCATTTAGATGCATTTACATGTCAAAATAAGCGATAATAATTCTTAGGCCGATCTCCGCCTGGTGTGGGGGGGGCTGTGAAATGAATGTTCTACTGTTTTGACAGTGGAATTAGTGAGAAAACTGAGAAATGATGATCCCTTAACAATCCAGCGAAATATTCCAAAAAACGGGAAAAAAATATTTAATTTTGAATTGAATGCAAATATCTTTATTCGTTTTAACAACATCAATTTAGCCCACTTCATGTTGAACCATACAAGAACTTTTCTAGATGTTGTGAACTTTCACTCCAGCCATTAGAAAATAATTATTTTTGAAGTGTCGCTTTATATCAACGTATTTTAAAATATTGCTATATTAGACTATACGTCGATGAAAAACTGCTTGGGCTATCAATGCAAATATCACAAATGTAGTTTTGAAAATGATACATTTTGCACAAAATACCAAAATTAGGTGGAAGCTTAGCCAGTTAAAGGTAATTTTTCCTTTTTTTTGTGTGTTTATGTAAATTAGTGCTACAGAACCATTCGAAGATTCAAATCAGAAAAATTGTAATTTTTAAAAAACATTAAAAATTTAATTTCGCAATATCGAACTACTAGCCCAATGAAAACATTACATATTGTCTACACTTTAGGCAATGTATAAAACCGACACAAAATATCTGATTTTGTAGTATTCCCGCAAAGTGTATTCACCAACAAATCAGAATGATATTTCGCATAATTAATAGGAAACGCCCATGGTATATTGATTTTCTGTAATGATTAAAATATTGCCTTTAACAAACGTATGCATTGATGTTTAACATTGGTTTTTAAATAACTTTAAATAGTCAAAAATTACATTTTTATGACAGCCAAATTTTTAAAAAACTTTTAAGGTCGGCGAAAGGGCGCGTAATTTGACCAAGACTTGTGTTAGAATTACGATGTCAGCTAGGGCCATTTACGAACACAAGGCGAAGTCGTTAATTAAACAATCGATTAAATTTAACTTGAACTGCCAATCTTTGCTAATATCGAGTGAAAAAGACTTGGACGATGCTCCAAAACATAACCCATGGTTGCTTACCCAGAAACTCGTCTGCAAGCCTGACGAGTTAGTTAAGCGTCGTGCTAAACTTGGTCTTGTTCTCCTTAATGCTACATTTAAAGAAGTCCGTGAATGGATTCTCAACAGAATTGGCAAACCCTTCACTGTGAGTTTCCTTAGAAGGCCCTTTTTTAAACCGTGCTCTTTTTCCAATTACAGATCAATTAAGTAGCCAGGTTTCAATGCCTTCTGGTTATTTTAATGGTATTCTTATCAACTTATGATATTTTTGTGTTTGATGCTTAATTTTTGTGTATTTGGTGTGATGTAATTTGGAATTTTTTTAAGAAATGAACTTAAAGAATTAAGTCTACGAAATATAGGTGGTTTCGCTTTTCCTTATGCAGGGTTTTTAATAAGTTATTTCCAGCCACTTGTTTCCCTTGAAAATTGCATTTAAACGATAAGGTATAGCTTGGTTTTAATTTAGCTCTGACAGCGAGTGTCCGCTTGTGAGTGGGAAGTCCCTTTTCTTTGGTTTTCCCCTACAGGTACTCTTTCTCCATAACTACATAACAAAGTAGACGAAAAACGTCTATTTTTATTGCTGATGAAGCCATTTTTTGCTTCTTTAGAATGGGTATTTTAAGTAACAAACTGTGGTAAATAGTTGCTCTCCGGTTAAGTAGTGTCAAATCCTTCAACATCATAAATGTCGTTGCAATTGAATGAATTCCAGGCATGGTGACTACTTCATTTGGCTATCAAATAAGAGCACGATTTTTCGGCAGTTGAGCCTTAAGCACACTCCATGTTTCCTTTTGTAATTATTATTGAAATTCTGAAAATGGGCTTGCAGCAGCTAAATGAGTAGTTGTTACAGTGAAAAGCTGAGATTGTTGTCTTGGTTGGTGTGTTTACAAGAAAAA